GGGGAGGGGAGGAGAAGAGGAAGAGGTAGAGGAGGAGGACGAGGGACGAGGAGGTAGAGGACGAGGAGGTAGAGGACGAGGAGGTAGAGGACGAGGAGGTAGAGGACGAGGAGGTAGAGGACGAGGAGGTAGAGGATGAAAGAGGAAGGGGAGGAGAAAGGTAAGACACTTGCAAACGATCTAGCAAGGAGACTCACATTGATGTTCACCCGCTGCTCCAACTTCACCGAGTACGGCGCCCACCTGCCCAGCTATCAGCCAGCTGACTTCACCCTCCCTTCCTTCTCCACCAGGCGCGAACAACAGCGTTGAAAGTGCTGGCGGGAGGAATGAAGACTTGAAGGATCGCCTAAGCGAAAGTGAAAGGTGAGGTCACTGCTTCCTCCTCCTCCTCCTCCTCCCTTCTCCTCCTCCTCCTCCTCCTCCTCCTCCTCCTCCTAACTCTTCCTCCTAACTCTTCCTCGTATGTCTTACTTGTCGGTCTTCATATCTCAGTTTATCATACAGATAAGAATGTAGCGATTCCTCCTGCTCATCCCGTTACTCTTCAACTGTTGTCCTCTTCCCTCCCCTCCCCTCCCCTCCCCTCCCATCCTCCACTCTCTCCACTCTCCTCTCATTATGTGACCCCTGTCCTTTCCCTCCCTCTCTTCCGCCTTGTTTTCCACCCCTTCCTCGTCCTCTCACTGTGAAATACTCGACGCTCGACGTCCATCCTCGAGTCTCATCGCGTGATGAAGCCACCTGATGTGATTCAGAGCAGGAGGAGGGAGGGAGGGAGAAGAGGGACTGAGGGGACGGAGGGGAGAGAGGGAGGGAGGGAGGGAGGGAGGATGTAGGAAGGGGAGGGAGGGAGGGAGGGAGAGAGGGAGGGAGGGAGAGAGGGAGGATGTAGGAAGGGGAGGGGAGGGGAGGGAGGGAGGAGGGAGGGAGGGAGGGAGGGAGCAAAGTACGAGATAGGCAACGACGGCATTGGGAATGAGCGGGGCTCTCCTGGTGTATCCATTCATGACAACAGCAAGCAGCGCGTTGGGCTCGAGCTCAGACGCCTTGTCAACCTAGAAGATGTTCAGAGAAGGTGGAGGGAGGGAAGAGAAGATAGAGGCGGGGAGGAGGAGAAAACTGATGAAGGGAACCGTCGAACAAGGTAGGAGAAAAGGAGGTGTAATTGAGATAGAGGGAAGTGAGGAAAAAGGAAGGAAAATGAGAAGGAGAAAAAGAGAAGGAGAAGAAGAAATGCGGAGAAAAGTATTTCGATGGGACAAGGTGGTGGTAGTGTTGGAGGAGAAGGATGGGAAGGATGGGGAGGGAGCGGAGAGTAGTAGTAGTAGTAGTAGTAGCAGCAGCAGCAGCAGCAGTAGGAGTAGTAGTAGTAGGAGGAGGAGGAGGAGGAGGACGAGGAAGAGGAAGAGGAAGAGGAGGTGGTGGTGGTGGTGGAAGAGGAGGAGGAGGTAGAAGATGAGGAGGAAGAGGAGGAGGAGGGGAGGATACCCGCTGGAAAGACTGCCCCTCCTCTGCGCTCAAGATAGCGAGAGCTCTTCTTTGTCGGATGACAACCTTTCAAGTTATCGTCAGCATCTTGTTGACAAGCCTGCGTGTCACTGACAGTCTCGGGCAGATTGAAATTCACGTTCTCATCTAGGACATTATCAGCCAGTGTTGACCTAAGTTGACGCTCTTACCAACGTGATGAAAGGCTGCCGTGATGTAGTCGAAGATCGTCTGTAGACCATCATTACCATCGTAATCCTCCTCCTCCTCCTCCTCATCTTTGTCCTCCTCTTCCACATCATCCTCAATAACGGGAACATACACAACCGCCATTGCACATGAGCTACAGCAGGGATGTCATCATCGTCTTCATCACCATCGCATCTCCATCATCTCGGCTCCCTCCCCCACCTCTCACCTGCGTCCAGTTGCTTGTCTCAAGGTCATAGGAGGCTGGCAGGGTTGAGTTTCCCTGCTCAAAGACAAGAGAAGAGGGCAGCATGTCAACCCGCGGAAGGAGCTCAACAGGCAGGAAGTGAGGCAGAGAAACTCTCCATGCAGTGTAGAAGAGGATGAAGAGGATGAAAGGCGAAGTTGAGGAGAAGAAGAAATGGAGGGGGCAGTGCAGGAAGGGCGAAGGGAGAGAGGAGAAGAGAAGGGAGGAAAGGGGGAGGAGGAGGGACGAGGGACGAGGAGGAAAGCTCACCCTCCTCTTCTTCTTGAAGATTTCTCCTAGTGAGTTCCAGTAGTTGTTGCTTATCATTTCCTTCACCTTGTCCTGCGCCATCGTTACCCGGCCAGGTCAGTGGTGCCATGGCTGTTCCTTCACCTTGACTTTGATGTTGTACTTCTCCACCATGTCCGCCTCCTCCTCGTCGAACTTGTACTTGCCATCTCGTCAGATCAGCCAGCGCGCGAGCAGCCGCACCTTCCCCCATCGTTCTCCCCATCTCTTCCCCGCCCTGCCCTGCATGGTTCAACGGCTAGTCAAAAATTTGACTGGAAAAAAGGTTGTCGGGCGTTGATCGGAACGGGGGAGAGCGCAGCGAGGGAGGAGGAGGGAGAGGAGGGAGGAAGGAAGGGGAGGGAAGGGGAGAGGAAGGGAGGGGGAAAAGGGTGGAAGGGGAGAGGAAGGGAGAGACGTTGAAGTCACTCGTCGACTAACATCGCGTATCACAGTGTTGGGTCAGCAGGATGTGGAAGCAGTTGGAGCAAGGGCTGATCGAGCTTGTAAGCGTATCCTCTGTATCCTCGGACTGTTGACATCTCCCACAGAGCAAGGGAGAGGAGGACAGGCTCCGTCGCGTAAGCTCCTCCTACCTGTGCGCTGTCCTGACGATCATGGCAGGTGTTTGAGCGCCTGGACAGGAATGGAGACGGGTAACGAGGACCTGAGGCGTGAGAGGAAGGGAAATCAAAGAGTTCACTGCCTTCAGGTTCATCGATGTAGCAGACCTGAGAGCGGTGATGGCGACTTTAAACTATGAGCCTGCTAAGGGAGAGCTAGAGGTATCCTTCTCCTCTCCCTCTCCTCGTCCTCGTCCTCGTCCTCGTCCTCGTCCTCGTCCTCGTCCTCGTCCTCGTCCTCGTCCTCGTCCTCGTCCTCTTCCTCGTCTCCATCCTTGCCCCTGCCCTCCCCTTGGATTGGTTTGCTCTTTCTCACGTCCTGCTGCCTTATGACTCTCTTTTCCATCTCTCGCAGGACATGATATGGGAAGTTGATGAGAACATGTCGAAATCGTTGAAGTCGGTGACGATGATGTTATGCACATGTAACCTTCACTGCAGCTATCAAGCGTTCTCCATCATGTACAGAAGGGTCAGAATGGATGCCGCTGGGATAGAGCCGCGCAAGCTCTACACGCTTGCGGTCAGGACAAGCTCCTGCTGTTTTCAGCTGCAAGTAACCTCTGCGGCAGGACTTCATGATGTCAGCAGGGTGGCGTACCTGCGTGCACAGTCTGACGATGCGACAGGAACGACAAGAATGGGGACTGTAAGGTGGCGATGGATGAAGCGGTACAGCTGATGTTCATGCGTGAGCGAAGCTGCAGAGGAGGAGGAGAGATGACAGTGAGCAGGTTACGGGAAGAGTTTCAGCCAAGATGAGATCAAGATGCTCTTCAAGGATACAGCAGACAAGAGTGGTACCATCTCCTTCCGGGAGTTTCGAGGTGTCAGAAAACTTTCTTGACGGTGAGAGTTGAGGCGTCTGATCTCATGCAGATTATGTGGAGAGGCAGCACGATGCGCTGGAGAAGAAACGAGAAGAAGCGAAACTCAAGAGCATGAAGGGTCGACCCAAGGGAAAGACACTTGATTGAAAGGCTATCTAGATCTCCTCCTCCCCCTTCTCCCTCCGCCCAGCGTGCCTCAGTTTTGCATCGTGCTCCTGCCAGAAGGAGGCGAACAGCTGAGGAGAGATGTTCTGCTCTTCGTCCTCAATCAGCGACTTGAGCGTCAGAACCTCGTCCTGGTTGAAACTGACGCCAAACACGCGCATCCTCGTCTCGAGCTCTTTGCTCGCCAGCTGGTACTGACCCTTGAAAATCGTCTGCACGAATCGGTCGGGGCTGTCAACCACTTCGACGAGCTTGAGGAAGACTCGGCGAGCAAGCAAGGGGAAGAACCACAAGTCGTCCACAGGAGAACAGATGCCCCCCTCGTAGAAGTCCTCGAGGAAGTCCAACGAGTACGAGCTGAGCGAGGAGGGAGCGGGCTTCTTCTGCGTGTGATCGACTGCCCCTTGCTCGAAAACCTTCTGCAGCACAGCCTGTGTGCGGGTGAAGAAGCAAGAAATCCTTCCCTTCCTCGGCACCTCCCCCTCCGCCCACTCCTCCGGCACCTCGAACTCCTTCCCCTCGTAGCAAACACGCACCAACGCTGACGAGGGTTCCTTGCACTTGAGATGGACCAGCTCCTGCATGACGAACCGGTCTCCGACGTCGGAGAGGTCAAGGTCATAGTAGTCGGCAGCAAGCAGCTCGTCAAAGATGTTGACGACGCCGAAGGCTCGCACCACTTCTTTCCTCTCAGAGGATGTGAGAGTCTTGAGAACGTTGGGCAGGCCATGATAGTCCACCACCCTTGACCAGCATGCGAAGATGACCTGCAGGCGGCACTTGTGCTGCTTGACCGGGGCGAGACGAGCAAGCAGAGACGAGACCTGGGCACCTGCCCCGAGTGTCAGCGGCATCACAGCAGCAAGGGGAGGAAGTTACAGGAGAAGTAGTGTGTGTTTGAGACTTCTCTCAAGAGGGAGATCTTCCTTTCGTTGGACAAGATCTGCAGGTTGAGAAACTGAGACTTTTCATCCCATCGCCTCAGCACCAGCTCGTCGAACTCCTCATCGCTCATCGCCTCCTCCCCATCTGGTCGGTCCAAGCACACATAGTCAAGCTCCAGTATCCCCTTGAACGGCAGATTCCAGTCCGCCTCGATGTCAAAGGGCAGTCCGGACAGTCGGCAGTTCCGCCAGCAAACTCCGATCCTTGCCACCTCTCGCTGTCCGCCCTTGCGGTTCGAGTAGTACTTGACGATCTTGTCCTCTACCGGCAGCATCTGAAACCTCATGCTGAGCAGACGACACGCCATATTCCTGTGGGGTGGCTTGTCAAGGTTGAGATGGTAGTGACCCGTCGGGTTGCTGGAGGAGAAGTGGAGGTGGTCTTTTCCTATCCGAGCTTCCACGTTCCTCGCCTCCGCATCTGACAGGTATCTCAACAGCTTCGTCGCGTCGTCGAGGTCGATGACTCGATGGTAGACGGTCATCACGAAGTCCATGCGGTAGTCGACGTCATTGACGTTGATCCGAGCAAACATGGCCTCGAAGTCTTCGAGCTTCAGGTACAAGCAGCCCACGGCTGTCTGCATGCTCCTCTTCTTCAGCGCTGCGCTTAAGTCTCGTCGGTTTAGCTGGTCCAGGAGAGCTTTCATCGCCTCCTCCCTCAGGTACTGGTCGCACGGGGACGGGAGCCCGTTCTCCACGAAGCCGAACTCGAGGATACCTGAGCAGGAGGTGAGCATGTGGAAGACAGGAGGTCAGAGGTCGCACCTTCAAGCGGCAGGCTTGTCGAGTCGAGGAGGTTGGAGGAGGAGAGAGAGAAGGTCTTGCTGCTCGTTTCTCCCTTCCTATCCAGCTTGAGGGTAGCTGAGCTCTTGTCAAACCTGCCTCGTCCTTGCGCGTTGAACTCGAGGAGCACCTCGAAGATTCTGCGGTGGCTGGCCCTCCCCATGTCAAGCCGATAGCTCCCAGCAGGCTCCAAGGGGTCGAAGACGCAGGAAGAAACTTCGCCGAAGTCGCAGTTCTCCAGAGAGATGGCTCGCTCAACGCTCCTCCTCTCCTTGGCCCTGGCGGAGCATCGCAGGAGCTCTCGGATGCCCTGCCTTGCCAGCGGGTTGTTGTCGAGCTTGAGCTGCTTCAGCCCCTGGGTGCTCTCAATGCCCGCAGAGACAACGAGGCAGCCGTAGGAGTCGATCTGATTGCTCGAGAGGTCCACCACTTGCAGCGGGCATGTCTTCAGCGCGTGGAACAGAGCGCTGAGCGCCTTCTCGCTCCCGAACCCGCTCCACTCGAGGTTCAGCCTCCTCAGTGACTTGTTGTCCGCCAGGCCCTCAGCGAAGGTGCAGGCCCCGTCGGTCAGGATCTCGTTCCATGAGACGTCCAGGTCTTGGAGGCAGACGGACTCTGACGCAATCATCCTCCTGAGAGCGACAGCTCCCAGCTTGCTGATCTTGTTCTTCTGCACTGAGAGCACCTTGAGCTGAGTCTTGGGCAGGACAAGGGCGATCGCTCGCATTCCGACGTCTCCGATGTCGTTCATGTCGCAGTGAAGCTCTTGGATAGAGGAGTTGGGGATCGAGAGGAACTTGGCGATCTTCTGCGCCCCTTCCTTGCCTATCCTGTTGGCGGACACGTTGAGATACTCGACGTCAAGGCCGCAGGACGTCAACATGTCAACGAGGATGGACATGCCCTCGGCCCGGAGGTTGTTGTTAGAGCAGTCAAACGACCTCAAGCCCATCAGGTCCATTGACTTCTTGAAGGAGAGGACCGGAGGGATAACGGCGTTTCCGCCCGTCAGGTCGACTCCGCGCATCATGCCGTCGAGGGCGGTCAGGTGGAAGTTGTTGTAGTTCTCTCCTGCCACGCTGATCTTGGAGCAGAGAGGGTCGTTGAGGAACCTGCGGATGGCGACGAGGCCGGTGGCAGGGACTTTGAAGTGCTCGCAGATCCTCTCGTAGATGGTCAAGTACGACTTCTTGACCCTCCTCAAGTCATCCGCATACTCTCGCCACGTTCGCATCGTCCCAGTCTGCACGGGATACTTGAGTCGCATCAGAGCTTGATTGAGAGCAGCTGAATTCTCCTGCTGCATCGAACTTAACAGGTTCTTCACCTGCTCATCAATATTCTCCTCATCCGAATCATCGTCGCCTTTGCGCTCCTGCTGCTGCTGCTCTTCTTGAACCACCACAGGCTCGTCTGCCTCCCCCTTGCCTTGTTCTACTGACTTTGCTTTCTGTACCTTGCTCTTGGCGACGCTCATCTTCCTCTGCGAGCCTTTCTCCTTCATTGACGACAAACTTTGCATGGTTATCAATGATCGTCTCCTCGACGTTCGTCGTTCATATGTAGGCACTGTCTTTTTCTGATTCTTCAAATTGTTGGTTGAGTTATTAGCAATCTCATGAGCGGATGGTGAGAGGGGAGCCGAGGAGTAGATGGGGTACTTGTCGATGTCAATGTCTGCGTTCAGCTCGAACCAACCGCTCTTGCTCTCGTTCAAGCCTTCTTTGAGCTTGATAAGATTCTCATCGGATTCTCTGTAGGTCCTGAGAATGTCCGACCATTTGTTGGGATCGCCAGTATAAAAGTCTTCTTCAGCTGTCAGGTCTTGGAGCTCTTCCGCTCCGATGGTGAATGTGTTGACGAGCATCTGAAGCCTCCTTCTCTCGTTCAACAGTTCATCCTTGCTGTCCATTGCTATGGTGAGTTCATCTTCAAGATTCTGCAAGCAACAACTCAGAAAACACTGAAACATCAAACTTCATTTCTCTACCTTCTTCTTGGACCCTTGCTCTATCTTGAGCAGACTCTCAATTCTATTCACTTCCAGCATGGCATCTCTCAAGTCAGCATCAGCTCTTGCAAGCTGCTGTTCGTAGATGCGCAACCTTGCTCTCTACATCAAACAAGTGTCAAGGAAAGGAGGCGCACCACTCACAACTCCTAACCTTGTCCAAGAACGTGTCCAACCCACTGATCCATCGTTCTGCATTCTTGTTCAACGGGATTCTTTCATTCTTGCCTTCCGCGTACAGAAGGAGACCGATCCATTGTTGGGTATCGAGCACCTTCATAGAGGTCCTTTCCTTCAAGCCCCTCATCTTCATTCGCATCTTGAAGTAGAGCGACGGGTCAATGTCCTCCAGCGACTTGTCTGACGTCCAGACTCTACTGAACCCCTCAGCTCCCATGACGTTAGTCAATCTCTTGCGCGCGGGAGTCATCCCCTTCCTCTCCTTGAAGCTCTGACCGGACATCGACTCGTCCTCAGGCACATCCTTGGCTGACAAGGTGCTGTCAGAGAAGGTGAGGGACTTGTCTCGAAGCAGAGGCTTCGGAGGCTTGAGCTCCTCGTCCTTTCTGCCATGAGGACTTGCCAGAAGCGTCTTCTCTCTTGTCGAGGCTGCGTCCTCCTCCACCTTCGATTGCACTAGATCTCCGTACATCTCCGTCTTCACCTTCTCCTCCAGCTGCTTCTGCTTTGACAAGGGCATCGCTGTGACAGGCCGCAGGGGCGTGCGAGCAGGCGGCGGCTTCTCCCTCCATGCTGGAGTGTGAGCTCGATAACCCAGCGAATAGGTTCCAAGGCTAGACTTGGGCCTCACGAAGTTTCTGCTGACCTGAGCTGAGAGATCGTTCAAGATAGTTGCAGGAGATGAATCAGGGCGAGGAAGCTTTCCTACGCTGGTTCCTGGTCGGCTCCTCGCCCTCCTCGATGCTCCCTCCCCCGCCCTCAGCTCTTCTTGCATGCTGATCATGCTGTGAGAAGAGACAGAAGGTGAGAGCGAGCTGGAGGAAAACTGGGTCGTCAACCCGTGGAGGGCTTTGTAGTTGGAGTACTCCCTCCTGACGTAGCCAGCAGGGGAAGTGTAAATCTTGTTGCGGATGACCTTTTTGCTGCTCCCTCGCTCGATCTCTATCCACGGTCCTTCCCACGGCATCGATGCTGTCTTCGTCCCCAGAGTGCTCCTGGGCCTCCTGAACACTTGCCCCTCCTCCCCTGGACGCCCTCGGACCTCCAACATGTCTGGCCCGTCCTCAGCCGCGCTCATCAGTGTTGATCGGGTTGCTGTGCTAGTTGCTGTAGGTCACTCACTGATGAATCATAGGAGAGGGTCTCTCTTTCAACATGTCGCCTTCTGACATCAACCAAACGATCTGACCACCACCAGGGGAGGAGCAGCATTGCCGCATAGCTTCAATGGCTCTGCCGAGACGAAGTTTACAGGAAGTCCTCGCTATCTAAGAGCCCCCTCTCCTCCCTCCATCCCTCTCTCTTCTCCTCCTCTCACCAGCTCATGCTCCCTCCTCCTCCTCTTCCTCCTCCTCCTCCTCCTCCTCCTCCTGCTCCCCTCCGACTGGCAACGGAAACCAGCAAACCCGCTCAACTAGATACTACTAGAAAGGGGCCTAACAGAAAAAAAGATATGAGTTTTACAGAATTTTTTTGTTCTATCCGACTGACGAAGGGAATGCAGTTGACAAGCAAAGAGAGGAGGTAGAGGAGCAGAGGGAGGGGAGAAGAGGACAGGCGAAACAAACTTCATGAGATGATTCTGAACTCTCGGAGACTGTTGGACATGAAGGATCTTGCTTCAATGCTCATGATTTCTGTTTGATCCACCAACTTACATAGCATCGAGATGCCTCGGACTCTGTTGATTTCTTCTCTCGTTCTGATGCTCCTTGTCAATGGGAGGGCAGGGAGGCAAGTAAGGAATGAAGACTTTGATCGCCTTTGTGGAGAAGCGATGGTGGAGAAAGGGCTGGGCAACCTCAAGTCTGCCATCAAGCTGTTCGCGTCGTCCATTCTGCTTTCTCCCCCGGAAAGTTTCGTATGGTACGAAATGGGGAGGGTCTTCGCAGGAAGCGGTGACCAGCATATGGCTATGCGATGCCTAATGACCGCGGCAAGGTTGCATAGAAGCACCGAGATCGTGGAGAGCCTGGTGGCGCTGAAGACGAGGCCCGAGTCGTTCCCAACGATAACTCCGACTATCGATTTGAGTGTGGGAGAAGGAGGAGGAGGAGGAGGAGGAGGAGGAGGAGGAGGAAGCGAGGCTCAGCAGCACCAGACCAAGTACAAGCGGAAGCTCTACGACAAGTACTTCCGGCTCGACTGCTCCATGAAGCGCTACATGCAGCAGCTCAACCACACACCGCACGATGTTGACATGCTGGTGGCAGCGGCGGAGGTGAGTATCGAGCTCCTCTACCACCGTCAGGCTGTTCGCATGCTCCAGCATGCCATGGAGCTGAAGCCTCAGGATGGTACTGTCTTCACCAAGCTAGTCGACGCGCAGGAAGGAAGAGGCGAGAGAGAGGCTGAGGCTGACGGAAAGACAGGTCAAGGGATGCGTCTTTGATAACTGGGAAAGGAACTTCCAACAGCTAGAAGCATTGATCCTACAACAGGTCTACCCTCTTCCTCCATCTTCAGCCTTGCTGTCCTCTTACTTCTCCCCAACCTTGTCGCACTGCTCTGACCCCGAACTGACGGCGCGGTCGGCAGGCTTCAAGAGGAGAGAAGATTATTCTCGGACCGATCCAGTCTACTCTCTACCCTCTCTCTCCGGCAGCCGCCCTTGCCATCTGCAAACAGGTTGCTCGGAGACCTCTTTCCTCTTCCTCCCTCCACCTCCCGCCCTCCCGGCGGCTCCCCTCTCTTCCTCTTCCTCCTCTTGCCTTGTCTGTCATGGTATGCCGTTTTCCAACCCTCTTGCTCCCCGCTTCCTCCCCTCCCTTCTCTTGACTTTGCTTCTCACCTCTCGCTCGCAGCTTGGACAAGAGTCACACCTGCAAGCCAGGGCGATGATGCCGCAGGGGTTCCAGCACGTCTCGTTTCCCAGCAGGAACCCAGCAGGATCCCTGCGGGTGGGATACATCACCTCGCACTTCACCAGCTCCTCTATCGGACGAGAGATGCTGTTCCTGATCGGCGCGCACAGGAGGCAGCAAGTAGTTCCTCTCTGCTATGCTCTCAACGCAGACGAGGGCTCCTGGCTCCAGCACACGTGGAGGGAAGCGATCGCGAGCACCTGCTCCTCCTTCATCTTCGTCGGGCACATGACCGAGCAGCAGGCAGCGCAGACGATCAACGAGCAGGAAGTTCACGTCCTCGTCGACCTCAACGGCTGGTCGGGGGGCCATCGGGTCCTCCTAGTCTCCATGCAGCCTGCCCCTGTCCAGGTTAACTACAAGAACTGGGTCGCCAGCTCCGGGATCCCTTCCCTCCACTTCATCGTCGGGGATGCGGTTGTGACACCCCCAGAGTTTCATCGAGACTTCACGGAGAGTCTCGTTCTCTTCCCCAACTGCTACTTCATCTCCGGTCACCGCTACCAGTACCACCTCACCAGCTCCGCCCAACTCGCGTCCTACGTCAACGCCAGCAGGCAGGCCAGGAGGGAGGCGAGGAAGAGCATCGGGCTACCCGCTGACTCGTTCCTCCTCGCCAACTTCAACAACCTGGAGAAGCTGGAGCCGAGGCTATGGCGGCTCTTCCTCCTCCTTCTGCGCCGGCATCGAGGAGCGCATCTTTGGCTGCAGCAGTACCCCCCAGCTAAGGCGAACCGTATCCGTCAGATGTTCAAGGAGGAGGAGGGGATGGAGGAGGCGCGGCTGGTGACGACCAAGTTCTTCAAGTCTGACGATCACATCGGCTTCAAGGCCCTTGCTGACATTTTCGTCGACTCTCCTTCCTACAATGCTCATAGCACAGCCATGGACACTCTGTGGGGAGCGCTCCCTCTCGCCACGTGCTGCTGCTGCTGCTGCTCCTTCCCTCCTTCTCACTATCCTTATGTAGGCTGCCAGAGGAGAAGATGGCCGCAAGAGTGGGAGCGAGTCTGCTCCTTGCAATCAACTGCTCCTCTACCATCGCCAGGTCGATGGAGGACCTGCAGGAGGTATCTGCTCCTCCCTTGCATGCGCATAGAGTTGACCCTGACTGCGAGCAGCTGCTGGAGCAGATGATTCAGAAGGGGAATCTCAAGAAGATCAGGAAGAAGCTGGAGGAAGAAAGATTTACTTCTCCTCTCTTTGACACGGTCAGTAGCCCTACTCCTGTTCTTCCCACAATGTGTCCTGCTCCTGCTCCTGCTCCTGCTCCTGCTCCTGCTCCTGCTCCTGCTCCTGCTCCTCCTGCTCCTGCTCCTGCTCCTCCTGCTCCTGCTCCACTCATTTTCCTCCAGGTCCGAGCTGTCCGCAACCTCGAGAGGACTTATCGCCTCATGTGGGAAGTTCGAGGTGGCTGAGAATGTTAGGCGGGTGGGAGCTGACGACCTGATCAGCTGAGGGGAAGAGGAGGAAGGAGAATCGCCTGCCGCAGCTGGTGGTGAAGGAGAATTGGGTCGAGGAGGAAGACCCGGATTTGTAAGCTCCTCCTCTCCTTACTGATCGCTGTCCCCTCCCCTCCTCTCCTCCCCTCCTTCCCCGCTTACTTGATTGCGCATCTCACTCGCGCTAATAGGGAGGCGAAGCTGCGGAGGATGCGGGTCGACACGTCACGAGCTGAAGCTCTTTAAGAGCATGCGGAAGGGAAGGAAAGGGGGGGAGAGGGTGACGTGGCAGCGTGAACTGGAAGGAGGGGAGGGAGGAGGGAGGAGGGAGGAGGGAGGAGGGAGGAGGGAGGAGGGAGGAGGGAGGAGGGAGGAGGGTTCATCATAGAGCTGTATGTTTCTTCCTACTTGTACAAGTCGCTCGCATCCTACGGGCTGTCCCAGCTCTCCGACGGCTGAGCTCGATGCGCTGAGAGCGCCTGCCTTGCCACGTCGGAGAGGACGGAGCGACTCTCGAGCGCCCTCTGAGCTCGCTTGCGGCTGAGGGGAAGTAAGGACGACTAAGAGGAGGAAGGGAGGGTAAGGGGGTAAAGGGCAGAAGTTGAGCAGGGAGAGGAGACTGGGAGGAGAAAGTGAAGCAGTGTGGGAAGGAGGAGAGGTGGGAGCGGGAGCGGGAAGTTCATTTGATTCACCTGCGCTCTTCGAACTCTGCGCGTCTCTGCTCCCAGTTGTACTCCTCCAGCAATGTCCTCCTCATGCCTCCTCGCTCCCATGCCAGAGCTGCGCAAGCGTCAACGAAAGAAGAAGCGTCTCCTGTGTGGTGTCACCGTCTGCGTCCGACTCCTGGTTGCTTCTTCTGACGGGCATACAGCATGAGGTTGAGCAGCGATGTAGAGAGAAGACAGAGCAGAACAAGGGAAAGGAGGGGAGAGCAAGACGTATAGGAAGAAGAAGAGGGAGGACGAACGAGAGGGCGGAAGGGAAGAGGGGAGGAGAGAGGACCGGATGTCGCGCTGCAGTAACCCGAGGATGATGAGTGCGAAGAGCTGACAACCGCAGACACAGGCGACGACGATGCCTGCGAAGGAATGATGGCAAGAAGACGAGGTATGGTGGGGATACCAGCATGGGAGGAAGGATCTTTGAACATGTTGTCGAGCTTGTTGATGCATGCTTCGTCTCCTGCTCAACTTTCAACTAAATTTCTCCTCCTCCTCCTCCTCCTCCTCCTCCTCCTCCTCCTCACCTTCCGGGCAGACAACTGTATCGATCAAGCTCGGGTTGAGAAGGAGGACCAGAGACAGAGAGAGTTCGCAGAGGACGACGACGAATAGAAACCAGACGGAGCAGGAGAGCACCAGCGAGCTCCTAGAACATGCTCCCATGTACCCGACCAGATTGCCTAGCGAAGCAGATCCTCCCACGCTCATGATCAGGTAGATCTGGAGGAGGATGGTCAGGAGGGACCAGGCGTGCTCTGGCATGAGTCTGCAACTCACGTATCCTGGGATGGGATGCGACGACGTTGTCTCATCGGACTCCCACTTGATGTACAGGAAAATTCCAAAGGTCTGGAGAATGGTAAGGAAGGGAGAAGAGGAGAGCGCAAAAGAATCTCAGTGATGGAGCAGAGGAGGAGCCGGGTTCATCGGGACTTACCAGGAGCGCAACTGATGTCAAGAAGAGAAACGTGCTCAAGGATTCTCCTGTCACGCGGAGACACTTGCCAAACACCCCCATATTGCCTGCCTCCTTTCTCACCTCCTCCCTGCCCCCAACTTTCCTTCCTCCTTGTAGTACTCTCTCTCTCTCTCTCTCCTGCCCTCCTCTGCTTCTTTCTTCGCTCCTCTCCTCCTGTAGTTTGTAAACACACACAGCGTGGCAAACTTCCTCTGAAGTATTTCACTTCCTGTAGTATCTGGTTAGAGTTTTGAAAGCAGGCGATTGGCAAGGGCATCACAACACGATAAGATGAGGCAGCACGATCACAACAAGTCAAACATTCAACAATTGATCGAGGACATGAAATAAAATTTTGGTGGTTTTGTTTTGAAACAAGACCGCATTTTTGCTGAGTCTTGACCAGTGCATTCGGGAAGGTGTTTTGACCACTCCTAAAGGCGTCAACGACTCTTGGTGCACTCAAACGATCTCGCCCATAACTCACAAGGTAAAAACGAAAGTGAAGAAGTTGATCTGCTCCAAGGACACACAAAGACAATGCAAGAGAAGACTTACAGAGCAAAAGAATTAAAGAAATCGACTAGGACAAAGACACTTGTTTTGACAAAGTCTTGAAGAAAGATTGAGATGAGTACAACTACAACAAACGAAGAGGTTCAGAGAAATGATTGTGTCTCTTCCTTCTGTCTTATCCCAATAACTCCCTTCCCCTCCCCTCCCTCCTTCTACCCTGCTCGCTCCTCGGGTCTCCATGTTCCATCGCAAATGTATTTGATCTGAATTCTTTTCACTCAACGGAGAGGGGTAGGTAAAGTAAATAGCCGAGGTAGCATTTACTACCGAATATTAATCACTTAATTTCTCGGGGCTAATTCAATTAGTGGTCCCCACAACTTGGGGTAATTGAAATATTTTAGGTATATAAGTTGAGTAAACTATTTCCTCGTCTCAGGCCTCGCGATTTTTCGAAAAGCATTTTTATTATTATGTTCGAAATGCCGCCCTCCTCCTTCCCCGCCTCCTCCTCCCTCCCGCATGCTCCTGCTTCTGATCCTGATCCTGCTTCTGATCCTGATCCTGATCCTGATCCTGATCCTGATCCTGTTCTTGTTCCTGGTCCTGCTCCTATTTTGACTCGGACACTGCTCATGCTCATGCTCATGCTCCCGATCCCAAGCTGGATCGATGCTGACGTTTAGATCGATGATCCTCGTCCTCGTCCTGCATTTCTCCCTATCCGACTTCTACCATCTTGTATCTCAACACCATTTACTTTCTATTCGTCATTTGCGATCTATCTTGACCACATCGCTACATACCTCAGCTCGAAATATGAACTTCTCTTTTGCATGCTTGGCTCCAAGCATTGAAAAGATTCTCTGCGTCTTCTCCAACCTCCTTCATTTCATCTGTTTTTGTGGCTTCTATGCCTCGCCATCATGTCAGATCATGACAATATACTACTGTACTACTATACTACTATACTAATACTTTACATTTTGACATCGCCCTTTCCGTTGCTCACAAAGTTCCTGAAATCTTGTACAGGATGGATTCACCCAACTCCAGCAACTCTACCCTCACTCCGGTGGGTAAGCGAGTTACGGCCATGCAGTGTCCAGGTACGCCAGCCACAACCCTGATGGAACTTTGTACTGACTCTGATGGCAAGACCTGTCGATTTCAGACTCGCCCAAGGTTTGAACCTCGCTCCTCTCGTTCGATGCTCTCATGGGGACTTCCTGACTTGTTTGTGCAGAGCTTCTCTTTCTCAAAGTCTCCTGGTTCTTCTCAGCTGCGGTATCTGTCCTTGGGCTCACTCTGACGCAGGTGCTGTGAAGCTGGAAACTAAGATGAGGGATAAGATCTCGTCACTGCAAGCTGAAATTGACCGTCTGTCTGAGAAAGTTCGCTCAGAAGAATTAGAGAAGGTGTTTTGCAGCATTCTTTCCTTCCATCCTCTATCCCTTCCCTTAGCCATCCCTCCCACCAATCTGAATGCAATCTGAATGTTTATACAGCACAACGCTCTTCTAGAGATCAGGAAGTTGAAGGCTATGCTGCACAAGAGCGGTCGGGATCTTGGAGCTGGCAGGCCCTTGTCTAACACCGCTTTCAGATGAAGTGGATGAGAAACAAATTAGAATCGGCATCCTTGAAGCTGAAAGAACAAATCTCCTGCATGAGATGCAGAGTCTGCGTCGTTCACTGGGTCTGATCCAACTAGATGCCTTGTCGTGCCGCTAACTCTTTATCCTCCTCAACAGCCAGCGCAGACCCGCAAGTGCAGGAGCTACAGGACCAGATCAACGAACTTCGTGACATGCTCAGGGACAGAGACGCGCAGCTGTCATGCCACAAGCAGCGACTGGGTACAGGCAAGACCACGGTCGGTTGGCAGCTGATCGCGTGCAGATTCCTTCCGGAAGCATAATCTCAGTGGAGCACCGAATGATTCGGACAAGGTGAAAATGACTAGAGACCTCCTGCAACGTGCTGACGTGTTGGTGCTGTCAGTTAAAGGCGGCGTTGGAGGACAACAGGCTCTTGAATGAGGAGCTCGACAGAAACGTGACTGTAAGTCGAAGTTTCTTCTCACAGCAGTTATGACCGCGGTGTAGGAGCTTGGAAAGTTGGAGCACAGGCTAGCGCGAGGAGAATTCAATCCCATGAAATCCAAGGTGATGACCCGGTTGATCTCCTTTCCTTGCACTCTCTGACCCTCGTTGCCTCCTGCCAGGTTGTCCGACCGGGAGCTCACGTGCCATGCCCCTCCTGTGCGGGCCTTCGGTCAAAGTTGAGCCAGGTCCTGTCCTCATGCTCTACTACCACGGAACTCAACGGCTGGCAGGCTGAGAAGGCTCGTCAGGAAGCAGAGGAACTTTTTGCTAAGGTGAATCTGTGCTGCCCGGTTCAAGTCCTCACAAGGAGTGCAGGCCAGTAAGGGCGGAGGGGATGATGAGGACAGCGATGGTGAGAAATCGGATGGGTATGGATCGCTGGAAGCCGGTAAGTTCAGCGGGTGAAGGCAACGTTGATTGTGACAGGAGGTCCAGGTCTTAAGATAGCAGAACTGAACAAGATGATTGCGGAGAAAGACAAGTACATCCAGAGGCTCAGGTGACAACCAAAGATGGATCGAGTAGTCGCTGAATGATCGTGTCAGCGAGCAAGCGAAAGCTCAGATCCAAGAGTACAAGGAGGTCAAACTTGAACAAACCCTTATCTCTTGCCTGCCCTCCTCACTCGAAGTTCAGGTTGCCAAGGCCCTGTTCGGGTTTTCTCTGTCAAAGCACAAGAGCTCGAGCGGAAAGAATACTCTTGGACAGTACCAGGTTGACTTCCCGTGGCTGTGGAGGAGATGAAGTGAGGTGAAGTTATGTCAAATCAGGTAAAGAGCCTGTTCGCGTACTCCAGTGAGGATGTGCTGCTCATTCAAGCACAAGAAGGAGGCAAACAGGTAGTTGTGCTTCAGATCTGATCTCAACTTGCGATGACGTGGCGAGATTCAATGCTTACTGCCCACTCTTCTTCCTTCCTGTCCTCCTTACACCTTTTTATTTCTTCCTTCCTCTGATCCTTTGCCCCGTTCTTCCTCCGTGCCTCTCCTTCCTTTCCGAAACCACCTTGATGTAACTCCGCAGGTCGACATGTTGTCTACCCCTTACTCTCTCAGGATCCAAGTAACGTTCTCACACGTTATCTGCCATAGCTGATGTCATCATCACAGGATTATGCCAATCGTTTTTTCCAACATGGACACCTCTTCCCACCTCTGCCGGCACTTCTTGCCTCCATCACCATCGAGCATTACGCGCGTATTGTGGCCGTCGGCACCCCATGACCCAACATTGCATGTCGGCAATGAGTTTTTCGGAATAGATGTCTGCACAGGAGACAAGCAACGATTCTGTATATTTGATTCTGTAGAACAATGAAACGTCTAGCACACACGATGGTGTGAAACGTCTAGCGCACACGATGGTGTAAGAATTTCCTAGGCTGAGGTAATTACGTCATAGGCTTACATGAAAGCATTTATTTCATCCTGCTCCCGTCAAAAGAAAATAATACATCGCAATGCAATCAGAGGACGATCAACTCATGTTCAAGACATCGACATTCTTATTCCCATGTCGTTTGTTCCCTGCTCTCACTTCTTTGGCTTCGGTTTCGGAGGATCGAAGGCACCCCCGAGCTAGAGACATGTCAGGCGGAAGGCACGAGGAGGGCATAGATAGAACCATCTCAGCACTCACATTAATTATTTCCTGCTCCTCCTGCGTCAGCTTCGGCCTTCTGAAATGTGCTGGAAGGTCTTTCAAACTTGACAGCGTCGACTGCAAAACAAGTTAGACCTTCTCTTTCAGTCCCTGCCTCCCCTCTCCCTTCTCTTCCCTCCCCTCCCCATTCTTTCTCCCCTCCTCCCCCCTCTTATCAGCCCCTCCACCCCCCCCCCCCCCTCCCTCCTTTCCCTCCCTTCCAGCACTCACCACAACTACATTGGGTCCAAGCGGCTTCGCCACAGTGCTGGACTTCCCTTGCGCCGATGGTGGTGAAGCTACAGGCGGGCTAGGCTTGGCCTGCGGCGGAGCCACAGGCTGAGATGGGGGAGCAGCTGCATTACCTAGTACGAGACAAGGTCACTGTATGTTCTTTCTCCTAGTACGAGACAAGGTCACTGTATGTTCTTTCTCCTAGTACGAGACAAGGTCACTGTATGTTCTTTCTCCTAGTACGAGACAAGGTCACTGTATGTTCTTTCTCCTAGTACGAGACAAGGTCACTGTATGTTCTTTCTCCTAGTACGAGACAAGGTCACTGTATGTTCTTTCTCCTAGTACGAGACAAGGTCACTGTATGTTCTTTCTCCTAGTACGAGACAAGGTCACTGTATGTTCTTTCTCCTAGTACGAGACAAGGTCACTGTATGTTCTTTCTCCTAGCCCCAACACTTCACTTCAGCTTTCTGACTACGGCGGACATAACATTCAGGTATAAACACGTTCTCGCTGGATTAAATCTTAACCACTGTTTCGCACACACCAGCCTTATTCTTCTTGAATTTATGACCGAAACCTCTTGCTGCAGAAAGACTCGCAATCTACGAGACGCCATCAACCCAACCCAACCTATCCGTTCTTCATGATCGCTCCTCTGAGTGCCCAATGTTCGCGGGATTCCCAACCCTTTCTCGTTTCAAAGACAATCTCATCGCATCATTGTGTGGCGCTGTTTCATCACCAGCATACATCAGCATGTTACTTGTCTTCACCTTGATTGCATCGGCCATGTCTGAACCTGATGCTGATCTTTCGCAGTAGCACGCTGCTTGCCCGCATAGCACAGAAGGGTAGCGACTCAAATTGGAATAATATCCAGAAAACATCCTTGAAATTATGTCGGTTAATTTGAAATTTTACCATTGGCCACCCCAATATCAAAAATATTTTTATGATTTAGTCAAAGAAATGTAAAAGTGATATACAGTTGCTGACCGCACTACACACGAAAGGCAATCCCGATTTTAAAGGTGTTGAAATCATTTTTAGATTGAGTACCAGCAGGTATTAGCTGTCCATAAATAACTTATAAAACCAAAACAACTACAATAGGTTCAGAAAGAAAACATTATAGCTGATTTATAACTTTATGAGCAACGTTTAAATCACTTTTAGATCTACACCGCAATCTGTTAAAAAGAAAGGACCCACCCTTGAAGGTTTCTCGTTACGCCCTATCCCCACCCCTACCCCCCTGACGTCCCTGCGAGTACCCATAGATACAAAACAAACGCCAACATTTTATTCGTACAGAGTCCCCAGTACCCTCCACGCACTACCCCCTACCCCACATCTCCACCATGTCACATCGCCCTACCCCCTCCCATTCCTCAACGTGGCACAAGACACCTCCACACCTACCACCCACCCCCACCTCTTTGTAGAGTGTCCTAAGAGCTCTCCACCCCACCACTGGGTCTACAATTGAGGTACCCACCCCTTAGGGTAGCCCCGATGAGACTCTCTTGACTTTTGTTGGTCTACCCCACCATCTTTGGTAATAAACATACCCCTAGTTCATCTGCCCTGTACCCACCCTTTAGACAATGTACCCCTATCACTTGTTTTGTACCCCAGCTATCTTCTAACCCACCCCTGGAAATTCTGCCACTTTCACCGGTGTGCTGTGTCTACCCTACCCATCACCCCTACCCTATATACAAGCTTGACGTCTCCAACCACCCCAATTCCGCCGCCGCCATGTCAGCTCCCTTTCCATGAGACATGTTCATTTGCAATGCTCCTGTCCTCCCTCCTTCACATCCTTCCTCCATGATAATTTTTTTACCTCCCCATGCTCATCCTGGATTTCGCGTCTTTCTTGTTCTCTTGATATCATTTCTCTGCTTTTTCTTTCTCTTTGCCTGAAACGTGCTGTCATCATCTTTGTCCTTGGTTTGCTGCAGCTAGGGTGAACATGCTCTCAATGTATACAGAAAATGAGATTCGATTATAACGCTCTGCTGTCTGTGTGCGTGATACAACTGGATTTGCCAAACGTTCCTCATGTCATTCTCTGCCTCGAGACGTCACTGTGGAACGATCCAGGATCTTGTGGATTCTTGTTACACTTTCGAAGATTTGTCTCCTCTGCAATGCAGATGCGCTTCAGACATGACATATAGCAATATTTCATCATGATAAATGGTTGATTGCGATACTCTCATTTTCTGTCTCGATTTTGGTAGTAGAAGGAAGGAAAATTCACCTGATTGCTGTTTGGTTTGTTTATTCTTGTTCATTTGGAAATGTTTGTGCGTTCATTTATCATCCGTACCGGCAATGTTTCTGGCTGAGCTGAAAGTTTTTTTTTCTAGTATGTCGCTCTGGAGCCATGTTGAGCAAGCACCCCCCGACCCCATCTTGGGTGTCGGTGTTGCATACAACGCTGATCCTGTGAGGCTTTTCTGGGCTCGAAGGGTTCTCTGAATGTTTCCTTCCAGGCTGAGAAGAAGGTGAACCTTGGTATCGGCGCTTACCGTGACGACACCGGCAAGCCCTGGGTTTTGGGATGCGTCAAACACGTAAGAATGCCAGCAAGTTGACACGGTCTTGTATTAATTGAAGTTCACAGGCTGAGCAGAAGATTCTCAAGGATACTGAGGATGGCAAGATGAACAAGGAGTATCTCCCCGTACAGGGTCTTCAGGCCTTCTTGGATGTCACCTCTGCTGTGATCCTTGGCAAGGATTCTCCCTTGATCAAGGAGAAGAAGGTGGCTGTCGTGCAGTCCCTCTCCGGCACTGGAGCTCTTCGTATTGCTGCCGAGTTCCTGTCCATCTACAAGCCAGGAGTTCCTGTGTACGTTAGCGACCCCACTTGGGGAAATCATCATCAGATCTTCAAGAAGGCTGGCCTTCAGACCCACAGCTACCGTTACCTCACTAAGGTACATTTGAGGTGGGAAGGAGGTTTCAAATGTTGAACACTTTCTGTGTAGGACATGAAGCTTGACATCGATGGGATGCTTGCTGACTTGAAGGCTGCTCCTGAGGGCAGTGTGTTCATCTTTCACACCGTTGCACACAACCCAACTGGCGTTGATCCCAACCCCGATCAGTGGAAGATGATTGCGGATGTTTGCGATGCCAAGAAGGCCATCCCCGTGTTCGACACTGCTTACCAAGGATATGCTTCCGGAGACCTGGACAAGGACGCCTACTCCGTTCGCTACTTTGCTCATGAGCGTGGATTTGAATTGTTTGTCACCCAGTCATACTCAAAGAACTTCGGCCTGTGAGTGGTTCAATTCTGTACCTGCTCTTCATTGACTCAGCACTCTCCAGCTACGGTGAGCGTATCGGTGCGTTGAACGTTGTCTGCAAGGACCCTGCTGTAGCCACCAAGGTCACCTCGCAACTTGGACTGTGAGCGCCGTTCTTGTCCCTCGGTGGATCCTTACCGTCTTGTGTAGTATCGTGAGAGCTATGGTCTCCAACCCTCCTCTTCATGGCGCCAGGATTGTGTCGACTGTGATCTCTGATCCCGAGCTCTTCAAGCAGTGGGACACGTAAGACATCTGAAGCCTCAACGTTCTCGCTGACATCTCTCCAGGGAGCTCAAGCTGATGGCCAATCGCATCATCAGCATGCGTCAAGATCTTGTCGATGCTCTCAAGGCGGTTCGACAAGAGCACCTGCTTGCTCTCGCCAGCCCGCTGATGTGTCTTTTCACAGATCGATTGCCCCACTCCTGCTCCCATTTACAAGGACTGGTCTCACATCACCAGCCAGATCGGAATGTTCGCCTTCACTGGCTTGCAGGTCCACAGGACGTGGCAATTCATCAGGCGCGTTACTGACATGCGAATGCAGGCAAAGCACGTCGATATCTTGAGCAGCAAGTGGCACATCTACTGCACCAAGAACGGACGTTTCTCCATGGCTGGCCTCAACGCCCACAACGTCAACGTAAGCTAACGACTCTTGGTAACCTTGCAGTGGTTTGACTCGTTCCTGGTAGTACGTTGCTGAGGCCATGAAGGATGCGCTGGTTACCGCTGGTCCTGCTGACGTGTAAATGGCGGAGAGGAAGGAAATTAATTCAGGGTTTCATTGCTGAGATTGAGATAATGAAGATCTTGGTCTGAATGTTGTAGAGCACAGCCTTTGAATGATTCGCCGGCGGTTGGTTAACTCATCATGGGCCCCTCTGATGCTTGTGTCATCGCACTCGGTAGACTCCAACGTCGACCCGCAGAGTCAGACTTCGCACAAGTTTGAAGAAACCTGGCGGTAGACTACCTTGGCAAGCAGCATCGAACTTTCAAGGGGAGAAAAAGACAAGAACATTGGGGACACAATGAATGGGTTGTAACGGACGACTGTTCGATGATAGTGGAAAACTTGAGGATTTGTGTAGGTGTCATCCCCCCCCCCCCCTCACCTTCAATCGCCACATAATTCTTCACCCAGCCTCGTCACCATCAATACCCGATCAATTGTCCGCTTCTTCCTCCGCATTTTTCATTATGCTCTGCCGCCGCAGCCAGACGCGTTCCGCTCATGGAAGCTCATCCATGCAGTAGCCCCAACATTGAAGGGAAGGTAGCAGGTGACAAGCGTTAGCTGTTGTCCTTGTCTCGAGCAGAGCAGAGCCCGCGAGATGAAGAAAAAGGAACAACTGAGCATAGAAGAGGGAGAAACATATCTTTTGGCAATCCTCTGAGATTCTAAGGGGAAGGAGAGAATGAAGGATCCCAGACAACAAGACTCCAACCATCGTTGACTTAATCTCATTGTCTTCTCCGGGCTATTCATCAATGAGAGCTGCCAGCTGTCAAAGACGCTGAAGATGAAGGTGAGACTAAAAGTGTTCACCTAGTCGTCACGACCAGGAGTGAAGTGAAAACTGGCAATATGAGCTCGGCTGAGCAGAATCACTCGTAGAAGACAACCACATGCAAGAGAAGAAGTGGCAAGACGACTGCGTCGCTCCTTCTGGCGTGTCAAACTCATTAGGTACGATCTCTTGCGGACATCATGACTTGACAACCATTACAGGAGGGGCCTCAAGTTCGAGTCAAGGAGGGGAGCAAGGAATAGAGAGAGTCATCGCGGAGTGCGCGACAGAAGAAACAAATCATCGAAGATGATAAGGAGCGGCGTCGTTGTGAAGCAGCAGGACTGGGCTGAATTCTCGTAGAGGAATATAAAGGACTTGTACAAACACATCCACGCAGAGCACAATAAGTGACCTGCAACCTGATACAACAAAACCAACCAATCGCAACCAGTCATACAAAGACCAAGGCTTTCAGCAACCACAACAAACAGCATTGAAGGCGATATATAGCCACCCAGAACCGCATCGTCACCTTCGCACTCTCAACTTCTGAATTTTCCCAATTTCCTCAAGAAAAAACACGGAAATCTACAGTGTGACTGACAACTATCCGTCAAGAAAGAGTAACTAGCTTATCGGCGCTGGGCCATGACCTCCGCATCGATCTTCATCTCATCCTCAGCAGCCTTGGCAAGATCAGCCAACTTCTCAGGGACAGGAGCGTTCTCGTCAAACTGAATGTCGGTGGCGTGCTTCATGAGAGCAGAGGCAACCTGATCGTGAAGTTTAGTCCTTCACACGTGCAGATGTAAATGCAAGTGAAAATGTAAGTGAAAACAGAGGAGATAACGTCCAAGGTGTGGAGCCCCAAGACCTTTGATTCACCATGGTTCACATAGAGACTCTTGACAACAAATGCTCCACATCGACATTAACGGAGAAAGTTCAAAAGTATGGGAGAAGGACATGATTACAAATACATGATGCATGCATAACCTAAACATAGCAACCGCAACACATTCCAATGTCCCATCACGAGCAAAGAGCAGTCAACGCTGAAAAGTCAACCAACGATATGGAATGCCGCAACCATCCAGAACACAGAACAAATGATCATGACGCATGAAAAAACAAATAAGATGTAAATATGGTGGAGACAGGATGATCATTATGAAATTCCATCCACAGCATCATCTCAGCCCGGTCTTTTCCTTCCTCCCACCTGGTATTCAGTTCCGAGCTTGGTCATCTGGAAGGTCTCGACGGGGGCCAGAGCGTTGGAGTGCTTGGCATAGGCGATGATGCCGATGCAGGAGACAAGAGCAGCGGCGATGAGCGCGAAGACAAGGGAAAGTCTCTGCCTCTGCTGCTGCTGCTGCGGCCTGCGCGTGTCGGCGGCTCCGTACATGGCGGGTGAGGGTGGCTCTTCGTAGTGTCTCTTCGACTATAACCGCTGCAACCGTCGCAACCCCTGTACCCCCTACCCCCTATGACTTCGTGGATCCCGTACAAAAGAAGCGCACCCTACCCCCGATATATCACGATCAAAATGACCAAAAAGGACCCGTTCAGCTAGTCTTCTCCAACCTGAACCCCCCCGGGCCCACTACCGTACCCTTCAAGAGTCAGCACTAGTTACTGAATCAATCAGTAACACCGGGTTAGGATTGCCGAGCCCGGCCGGACTGAGTCCGACAGTACGGTGCGGCAGGTCACCCCGGTTGCGGCCCGATCACTCAACGGTGTACGGTCACTGACAGACTGGCCCCCTCACTGGCCGCCGGGCTGGCCAGTACTGAGGGCCGGGCCGGCCCTAGCCGGGCTAGTCAGGCTACTAGGCCGCCCCGCCGCACCCGAGTCACACGGTACGGTAGTCGGACTGGCCTCACTGGCGGCCGTGCCGGGCCGTGCGTGGCGGCCGCCGGGGCCGCCGGGTGCCGCGCCCGGCCGCACCGTCGGCCCGGCGGCCGGGCCGCCCGAGCGGCCGGCCCGGCGGGCCCCCGGGGGCCCGGTGGGTCCGGCCCGGACTCCCCGCGGAGTCGGACTCGGGCACAGCCTGGCAGCGGCCGCGAGTCGCGGCGGCCCGCCCTGAGCCAGTGAGTCACTGTACGGTTCGACGTCAGCCCAGCCTGACTCTGCCAGTGACCGTACGCCGCCGGTGCCGTTCCGAAGTTCAGCGGCCGGGCCGCGGCTGTGCGGCGGGTGACGGTCACCACGGTGGCCGCTCAGTCCTCGCCCGTGAGTTAGTGAATCATGCGACTCAGATGGCCATCCGATCATCATCCGCCCGGCCCGGTGACTGCACCGCACGCGGCACTGCCGCCGTCCGGCCGCCCGGCGGTGCAGCATGCCGGGTGACGACTAGGTGCTAAGTTATCTATTCCTCGTCAAACCAAACTTCTTCGTCCTCCCTCCCGTCCCACTCCAAGCTGCTCGATGCACCGCTGCCTGGTGAGTCTGGCGGCATTGAGAGGAAGCAACATCAGAAGGAGGAAGAGTCAACAACGACAAGAGGCTGAGGCGGACTGGAAGCTTGGGAGAGGGAGGCGAGAGAGGAGGCAAGGGGAGTGGAAGGAGAGAGGAGAGGAGAAAGTCGCTCACATGCTGCTATCTTGGACATGCTGAATCTGCCGACGAACTCAGGGTCCGACTCCCCGTCCATGATGGTCCCTCGGATAGTGTTGTCCTCCTACAAGCATGTGAACCTCGACCAAGACTGAGGGAAGCGGGACCATGGCAGGAGTTCCGACGTACTCTCTGTCGTCAAAGATGGTCGACAGCGTGCTTCGCTTTGGAACAGCCAGTACAAAGTCTTTATGCTTCACAGTCCAGCGAATCTTGCTATCGGTGTTGTCAGGACCGACGTCAGGGGGCAGGGAGACGGTGCTGTCGGGGTTTAGGGTGACGAAGAATGTGTTCTTAGCTCCTTCGATCTCTTGGTTGAGTGACCTGGAAGCAGCAGATCAACACAAGTTTGAGTTGCTGGTGTTCAACCAGGTGCCGGGATAGAATTCCAAGTCCTTGTCTGAGACGACCATTTCTAGCCGCGCCTTCTGTCGCGAGCGGAGCGGCATAGCAGGGATGGCTGATTGCGCAGGGCAAGCCTGGAAGCGCAAGATGTTTCAGCATGATGTGATTTTGACGGGGAGAAAGCTAGAGCAGAGCAGCGAACTTCTGTGTGAAGGGTGATGGTAACGCAGGAAGGGTACCTTTCGTGTAAGGGCTACGTTCCTCCCGCCGCAGACTGCAAGATTGTGAGGTGAGGTGGGACCAATGGGAATGATAGGAAGAGAAGGAAGGGGGAAAGGGATTGCACGAGGGTGAGATGCCAAGGGGATCCTACACATGTCGAGGTGGATGTGGAGGGAGGGATATGACACAGATCATGGGAGTGAGAGGGTGAAGCATGGAGAGCGTGAGGAGAAGAGAGGACGGTGCTTCTTTCTCACATGCTCGTTGTCCTCCTACGGCAAACCCTTCAGCGCTCCCTGTCGCCATCACCATTGCCGTCGCAATTACCACCGCCATAGCGACCATTGTTTTGATCCACCCCACCCTATCTTGTTCATTCCATTTTTCGGTATCATGGTAGGGTCCTGCTTTCTTTATTACTCAGTGCGGATGGCAAGATCGAGAGAGGAGGGGCGAGGAAGAAGTAGAGGAGGAGGGGAAGACTAGCAGGAGGTAGCAGAAGGAGGATGACTCAAGGGACAGGCGAAGACAAGAGGGCACGATAGACAACTACGAAGATATCTACACAGGGGACGAGGAGGGGGGTAGGGGGTAGGAAGAGGAGAGGAGTGGAGGGAAGGGAGGGTGGGTGGGAAGGAGGGAAGGAGGTAGGTAGGGAGAGATGAGGACCGGGATATCTCATATTCAAGCAGGATCGCAGAATGTCTTGAAGCCAGCTCACCAATGGCTGCTATTCATTTTCTTCACAAGTCCATCCTGCTCCTGCTCGTACTCCTAGTCCAACCCGCCGATACTTTCTCCACGTCCACTCCTCCTCGTGCTCCTCCCCTTCCCGGTCTTCTACCCAGGCACATCTCTCAGCGCAAGGCTGCTGGAAGCATGCAAGGAGCCAGGTCGACCTCCTTCTAACGGTCCCTTGCTCGTAACGTCCATGATGGGAACAGAATGCAGACGAGTGCGCGAGGAGCTGCCGCGTTGCAGCCCCACCTGGTGGGGAAGAGAGTTCTAGGACTTGGCGTCGCTGCCGTGGACTTCATCGCAACCGTCGATCACTTCCCTCAGGTAGATGACGCGTCCTCGTGCTGGAGCCATTGTGAATGGTTCCCTCCCAGCCGGACGACAAGATTCGGAGCACGAGCTTCTCGATGCAAGGAGGAGGGAACTGCGCCAACACGCTGACGTGCGTGAGGAGGCTGGGGGTGGAGGCTATACTCGCAACCAAGCTGGGAAAGGACGCCAACGGGAACTCCATTATCTCTGAGCTCAATGACGACGGCGTCTCAACCTCCTTGTGCATCTGCAAGGAAGGACTTGACTCGTACGTGACTCAACCCGTTGCCCTCTCCATCCCCTCCCATCCCTCCCCTTCTCTCCCCTTCTCTCCCTTCTCTCTCCTTCTCTCCCCTTCTCTTCCTTCTCTCCCTTCTCTGCCCTCCCTAATCCCTACTCTCCCATTCTTTCCGTACCATTCATACCCCTGTTGCATTGACATCCCCTCAACCTCATCATCACCGCCTCGATCTCCTTTTGTCTCCCTTTCTCCTTCTGTATCCTCTCCTCTCGCTCGCTCCTTATCTTACAACAGGCCCTTCACCTACATCATCGTAGACGACGCTACTCACACCCGCACCTGCATCCACACGCCGATCCAGGAGGAGCTGCTGGAGGAAGAGGTAGCAGCTGAGTGGCTTGACGGAGTCTCCCTCCTCCACCTCGACAGCCGCAACACCCGCGCATCGATCAAACTCGCCAAGTTGGCGAGGGAGCGCAGCATCCCCGTCGTCTTGGACGCAGAGAAGGACAGGCCGTACATGCGCGAGCTCCTGCCCCTCGCCGATGTCATAGTCACCAACTCCAAGTACCCCCTCGTCTTCGACTCTGCCGGGTTCGTCCAGGGCATGCAAGCTCTCCTCCAGCTGGGGTCGGCAAAGATGATCATCTCCACGCAGGGCGACCGGGGTTGCACTGCTCTGGTGCGCGGAGAGGACGGAGGGGGAGCGTACGAGAAGATCACGACTGAGCACATGCTCGTGAGCGGAGAGCCGTGTACTGTCTACACTTGTCCTGCGCTGCGGGTGGAGGAAGTGGTTGACACTACAGGAGCAGGAGACAGCTTCATCGGGGGCGTGATCTATGGGGTCCTCAATGATTGGAAGATAGACAGGATCTTGATGTTCGCTTCCTACGTAGCCAGCAGGAAGATCCAAGGACGAGGGGCAAGGGAGGGGATCCCACGATGGGAAGATATACCCGAGGCGGTAAAAAGTGGTATCCAGGAGTGATGAAAGTTTTTGCTACTCATGAACTGCATCTCTGTTATCGCTAAGAGTTTTCATTACCACCTCATGTACTACACGTTGGCACATTCTAGTGCGAATGAGTTCATGCACGAGGATCAGGACGAGGGCATGGCTTGCAGTTCCAGATCTTGGTGGCGTACTCATCGATGGTACGATCAGTAGAGAAGAATCCCATCCCTGAAACAGCGTTGAGGCACTTGCGAGCCCAGGACTTCTTGTCCTTGTAAGCAGCATCGACCTTCTCCTGTTATCAAGACCGTCAGAAACAGTGAGAGTCCAAAGATATTTAACAGCACCTGGCAATCGATGTAGGCGGGGAAGTCGTGAGCAAGGAGATAACGATCACGTCCCTTCTCAATGCTGTTAAGCACAGGCTCAAAATCGACAGGGTTGCCGAAGTGGCCAGAGCGGATCATGTTCACGACATTGACGAGGCGGTGGTCCCAAGGGGCTCCCTAATCCACGAGTACTTAGCATGGGCTTTTCGGTGAAGACTGTACATCTTTACCTCAATCATGCGCCGGGTAGCATCAGCAATCTCGTGACACTTAGCTCCAAAGATGAAGATGTTCTCCTCTCCGACGTTCTCCTTGATCTCGATGTTGGCACCGTCATCAGTGCCGATGATGATACCTGTATCCCGTCTTAGTTGGAGATGAGCTACGCGCTTGAGGGGTGGAAATTACCTCCATTCATCACAAACTTCATGTTGGAGGTTCCTGAAGCCTCGGTACCGGCAGTGGAGATGTGCTCGGAGATGTCGTTGGCTGGGATGATGATCTGTGCATTTCCAACCTGCAATCATTCTCAGCCTGACCTCAAGGGAAACAGTTTGTCGACCTTGTAGTTGGGGATAAATACGAGCTTCAAGTACTGATTGGTGTCCGGATCAGAGTTGATGACACGTCCAACAGCGTTGGCAAGGGCGATGATCTTCTTTGCAATGAAATATCCGGCAGCAGCCTTTCCGCCAATGAAGCAGGTACGGGCCTGAACATTCTGCCTCTGCGCAGGGCTCATCTTCTTGAGCTCGGAGTAGCGGTGGATGATTCCAAGAACGTTCAAGAGCTGCCTCTTGTACTCATGGATGCGCTTGACTTGAATGTCGAAGAGGGTGTTGGTGTCAACATCAACGTCAAGATGCTCCTTCACATAAGCAGCAAGGCGCTTCTTGTTCTCCAGCTTGGCAGCCATGACTTCATCGAGAACCTTGTCGTCATTTGCGAACTTCTTGAGCCCATCGAGAAGGCTGAGATCGCGAACCCACTTGTCGCTGCCGAGGCACTTGGTGATTACGGTTGACAGGGCAGGGTTGCACTGCAAAACAATGGCTCAGGAACAAGTCATGATTCTTCAAATAAGTACCTGTGCCATCCAGCGACGGCAGGTCACACCATTGGTGATTCCGATGAACTTGTCATTGATTCCCTTGCGCTTGTAGTACTCAACGAATTGAGGGAAGACATCGGATTTGACGATCTCGGCGTGAATGGCAGCAACACCATTGACCTTCTGAGATCCGATGATGGCGAGATGAGCCATGCGGATCATCTTGTACTCTCCATCGCCTTCGATGACGGAGAGCTTGGAGATCATGTTGCCATCATCACCGAAGACCTCACGGACCTATGAAGCAATCAATCATTGTTGTCAATCCAGCGAATTTAGTACCTCGTTGATCCATCGGCGGTTGATCTCAAAAATGATCTCAGTGATACGTGGAAGGAGATTCTGCATGAGGGTGACAGGCCACTTCTCGAGAGCTTCAGGAAGAACAGTGTGATTGGTGTAGGCAAACACTTTGCAAACAATGGACCTGTAAGACAAATCAGTGCGCTTGACTCAAACATAGTGAGAATATTCACCAGGCGAGAGTCCATCCAAGCTTGAAATTGTCCATCAGAAGTCGCATCAACTCAGCAACACCGATGGATGGATGGGTGTCGTTCAACTGGATGGCAACCTTCTCAGGAAGCTCCTCCCAGCTTCTTCCAGGCTTGGCAGCCACAAAGGTTTGCAAAACATCCTGACAGAAACATTCAGAGGAGAAAATTGCCTTGATGCGTGAACATATACCTGAAGGGTAGCTGACACAAAGAAGTACTGCTGCTTCAAACGAAGCTCCTTTCCAGCGTAGTTGTTGTCATTGGGATAGAGAACTTGGGTGATTTCGAGAGCACGCTGACGAGCGGCAAGGGCAGCGTTGTAGTCACCCTCATTGAACTTGCTCAGGTCGATATCCTGATCAGGCATAGCAGACCACAGCCTCAAGGAGTTGGTGTTGAGGGTGTCGTAGCTAGAAGAAAACGATCAGATCGAAGATGCAAAAGGAGGCATGGAATACCCGGGGATGGGGACATCGTAGGCCACAGCCATGACTTTCTCCGACCCATAGAAATTGACAGCGTATTTCACATCCAATCTCTGGATTTCCCAAGGATTTCCCTTGGTGAGCCAGGTATCGGGGTATTCAACCTGGATTCCATCCTTGATGCGCTGCTCGAACATACCGTGTTCATAACGAATTCCATAGCCCCAAGCGGGAAGGTTCAAAGTGGCCATAGAGTCCAAGAAGCAAGCAGCAAGACGACCGAGACCTCCGTTTCCAAGGGCTGCATCCTTCTCCTGCTCAACAAGATCCTGAAGGCAAAAGCATCACTTACTCAACCTTGGGAAGGCAAGCATCTCGCACCTCGAGCTTGAATCCAATCTCCTCAAGAGCCTCCTTGTATGGCTTCTGAAGATCAAGGTTCATCAACGAGTTCAAGAGGGATCTTCCCATCAAGAACTCGAGGGACAGGTAGTAAACCCTCTTGGGGTCTTGCTTGAGGTAGTGAGCCTTGGTGTCACGCAACGACTCAACCAAGTAATCTCTGACGGAAAGAGCAACAGACTGATAGGCCGTGTGCTCATCGAAGTTGTATCGGTCAGTAGCAAGAGTGTGCTCAGCATGGTGTACCACAGACCTAGGAAATCAAGACGTCAGCTAGATCCTTACCATAAGAAATATAACAAAAGCGCAACCCACTTTTGGATGCTTGTTTTGTCAGCGGGCTTGTAGGTCGAAGAAATAGACCAGATCTTCTCCTTGACAGGGTCCTTGGTACCCGGGCCCGGCCTCTTGATGGAGGGATTGCTCAAGTCCTGTGTTGCAGACAGCACAGTCAGTATGGGTTGAAGATATCGCCATGTTACAGAGACGTACGAATATCTTTAGAAAGGTCAAGAACGAAGTGGGAGTTCAATCATTTGAAGCATGAGAGGGGGGAAAGGGGATACTACACTGCGATTCCAATTTAAGGAGTTGGCCAACTTTACCTGCTGAGAAGCAGATCTTGTCATCATGGGGATTTCTTCCCCACCTCTCAGCCGGAGATTGTTGAAGAAACGTGTTGGTGCAGGAGAGAGCCGAGCCGCGTCGGCGCATGCTAAGGCAGCTAGCGCGACTACCGCCGCCGCTCGCATGCCCATCGCTTGAACTTGCAAAGCCCGCAACCCCCACCCCCTCAAATCCATAGATGTACCCACCTCCACCCATCTCCTCGTGAGCACCCCTACCCACGTGCGACTGTCCGCCCCACTACCCGTTGACATACCCTTGAGAGAACTGGTACTTTGCTAGTGTCATGGCTGACAGCACGGGTCCTTGTAGTGTAACAGGCTTATGGTGGCCCACCCCCACCCACCATGTAACATGTTGACCCCCCAGGAACACAGAATCCTTTACGGCCACCCCCTTGCGTCCCGCGGGGTCGTGGGCGTAGATTACCCCCACCCCCTACAGATCAACAAAAAAAATGGAAAAGGTTAGTCTGTTGGTGGGTAGGGTGAGTTACTAACTGCACTTAGGGTGGGTCTCAGGTCAGTCGCTACGAGGGACGCATCGGAGGTAGACGGGGTAGGGGTGAATAGAAACAAAGGGGTGTTAAGGGTCCTTGATGAAGAGGACGGGGGTAGGACAGGCAAGCATGTCTCGAAAGGGGGGTACAGACTCTATGATGAAAAAGGGAAAAGGAAGGGTGAGAAAATGTAGGTAAGAGGTCATACTACCGTCATGATGCAGAGGAATGAGTAGTAAGGAGGGTAGGGTAGTTGCAGCTGCCCACAGGAATGCATCACAGTCAGGTGAAGGGGTAGGGTGAGATCTGGCACAGATTCTAAAAATTGCAATTTTTTAATTGTACCATAAACACAAAATGCTACGAAGGGGGATGGTCTACATATCTATTTATCAATAGTTAAATTACTTTTTGTGTATTAGAGTATTGCACTTGGAATATAAATGGAAGTTTTTGTAACATTGTATTGTGATTTTGTAAACAAAACTTTATAATTAAAAGTTATAGTAGCATTTGTAGGAAAACAGTATATCTATATAAGACTGCTTGCCACCTCCTGGGTTTCAGGATCATCGCGTTCAATTTCTGTATTATTATGATTTTCAAAATCAATAAAACAAATTCGAAATATATTCCTGAAAACAAAAAAGAAAGTATCGGACTCGTGAATGGAGATCGGCACTACCCCCTGACATCGATTTCGACTACCCCCAAAACTTCAAGGATTCGATGGGGTGCGGGTACGTATCTTTTAGGTCCTGTTGAGGGGTCGCAACCACCAAATCCCTGTACAGGGCAGAATCACCCCACCCATCATTCTGAACTACACTTTAAGGGCAAGGAAGGGGTAGTCACAGTATACATGGGAGGCACATGGAGGCTTGCAGGGACAACTTCGGCAAAAATACGAACGACCCCCCGACAAGTGGTCGGGTCACACCGGGGCCGTACCCTTGCCGGGAACTTGGCCTGAGTCTCTCGGAGCGACCGGCCCCGCTCGGACCGTACGGCGCGTGTCAGCCGCCCGGCCCGGGCCCCGGCCGCCGGGCCCGGCGCCGCCGCCCAGTGAGCCCAGGCTCCGGGAGTCCGTCCGTCACCGTCCGCCCGGCCCGGCCCGGGCGGCGTGTCGGACCGTATCATGTCAGACCGTGGGCCACGGCGGCGTGACGGTGCCACGGTGATCCGCCGGGGACCCGCGGCGCGGCGCGGCGGCTGCCGGCGCCGGGACGGCACGGTGCCACGGTGACTCTGTGACGGACCCGGCGGCGGCGTTCAAGGGCCCGGCCCGCCCCGGGCCCGCCGCCGGGGCCGGGGGGGCGGGGGCCCCGGGGCGGCCGCCGAGCCTTCCGAAGTTCCCGGTCACTGCCGGCCCGGGCCGCTGGCTGATTCAGGCTCGGACCGTCACTGCGGCGCCGGCCGCCTACGGTCATCGGGGAGTCGGAAAGAATGAGCACTGCGGCGGACTGTTCCCGGACACTCGCCTGTACCTTCAAAGTTTGCCAGTAAGATTTACTAAGTTGAAAACGTCCGACTGATGATCCGATCCCGGCAAGCCTAACCGTTAAGTTAGCCGGCGCCGGCTGCCAGCGGCAACAGTGCCAGGCCCTTACTGGTAGGCTCCCTGAAACCGAAACTTGCCACTGAGGTGACCGTAGGCTTAAGTCGTTCCCCGGCGCCGGAAGCCCGGCTCGGTACGATTACTAGACCTGACCGTCACTGAGTGACCATCGGACCCGGTGACCCGCCGTGAACATCGGACGGGCCGCCCCGGGCCGCCGCCGCCCGCCGCCAGGCGGCCCGCGGCCGCCGTGACCGTCACTGCAGAGTGTCGCCGTGACTGGAAGACCGTACGGTACCATTGACAGTGATCGGACTGACCGTCCCGGTCCGCGGCTGCCCTCGGCCACCGTACGGTGACTCTGTGAGTGTAACTTCTCAGTCACCGTAGTAGTAAGCGGCCGCTGAACCGGGCCCGGCCCTGAGTTCAAACTGAGCCTCAGTCACTGGCCATCTCGATCAGATCACAGGCCCTAAAACCTGTCCAGCATATCATCAAGCCTGGACTGGTACCTCTTCTTGGTGTCCTCGTCGTCTGAGCTGAAATGGAAACCAAACACCCTCTTGAAAGTCTCGATATCTATCTGCGGCAGGCAATGAAGTTACTAGGCTCTCATGCTTCGCTCTTCTCTCCTCCGAGTACGGTTCCCGACCCCCGCCAATCCCCCCCCCCGACCTCTAGAGTCCCGGACCGTACTCCCTCCCCTCTTCCTTCGAGTCAGTCGCGGCCTTACTTGGTCGAAGTCCGACTCCCTTCTCGCAAGCCCCACCGACGCCTTGAGGTTCTCGAGATGCTGGACCTCAGGACATAAGGTCTTGAGGTTCTCCTCGATGTCGTGGAGGGTGACCTTGCCGTTGCGGTAGGAGGGGAAGCGTTTGAAGATGGCCGACATGCTGTCTTGTCCCCGAAAAGAGGTTTGCTTGGAAATGCTTGCTTGCTTTGATAAGCCGTGGTTGGTAATGCTTGCTTGCTTTGATAAGCCGTGGTTGGAAATACTTGCTTGCTTTGATAAGCCGTGGTTGGAAATACTTGCTTGCTTTGATAAGCCGTGGTTGGAAATACTTGGTTGCTTGGATAAGCCGTGATTGACAACACTTGGGTGTTTGGATAAGCCATGATGGGAAATACTTGGTTGCTTTGATAAGGCGTGTATGTTACTCATGCTGGCACTTTTATGCGCTTTGGGGGGCCGAGGCTTATTAGACAAATCGGAATCATTGGAATCTGTGCGCTGCAGGGAATCATGATTGTGATAATGCAACGTCGGATCAGAGCCTGAGCGCCTCAGGCGCGTCAAGTGCTTCGATGTTTCAAGATGCTCTTCGGGATCTCCCTGTGTAGGACAACAACCTAAGTAGGATTCTACTCCCCCCATGCTCAATTTGTTTCACAAGTAAAAGTGACTTGGGAATGACAACACAGGAATACAGGGGACTAGGAGACTAGGTCCTACTGGGCTAGGACCCAGGTTTTCAAACCGATGACTCTCAGATATGCTCCGATCCCCGACTCCGGTCGTACTAACTTAAGGCTACTACCTACCGTAGTAGGTGACTCTCAAATTTCGGAGGAACCGAGCCGTGAGGACAGCTGCAAAAAAAAAAGCCGCAGAAACTTGAAATTGATATACCAGATATCATCGAGTCAGGGTGGCACGGCGCTGGGAGCCTCATGCCGGGCCGGGCCACTGACCCCGGCCGGGTGAACCGTCTGACCAGTCCGGTCACTGCCCGGGCCAACTTAGTAGCCTACCGTAACTAGTACGCCGCCCCCCCAACGTCACGGTGACGGTGATCGGACGACCGTCCGGTGCGGCCCGGCCCGGCCGGGCCGCGGCCGCCGGGCCGCCGCCGGGCCGCCGCACTGCCGCGGCCGCACTAGGCGGCGGCGCCCGGCCGAGTGACTCCGACGCTCAGTGAGCGGCGGCTTTACTCAAAGTTAAGTTGAAAATCAGTGACGAGTCGGAGGACAATCAGGACTCGGAGTCTTCCGTAGAGGAGGCTTCAAGTTACCCCTGGACAGTACGGTCTGAGTGACTGACCATCGTGACTGTCGCACAGGCCGTACGGCGAGAAGACTCCCGGCTCCCGAAAGGTCGGAGCCTGAGACAGCGCGGCGAGAACCAACCCTCATCATGCCTGCCGACTGCTGACGGCCCCCCCGAAACTTAACTGCCATGATACTTTCACAGTGACTTAATCGCGGCGCGCACTGGCAGGACCATTCCCCCGCGCCATGCGGCCAGCGATGTCGCGGCGCTGTGCGGCCACCTCGACTGAGCGGGCAGCCACGCCGCCGGCCAACGGTCCGGGTTCCCCCAGTAGTATGATTTTATTTTGAAGTTTAGCAAGGATTTAAAAGCAAGATGATGCAAACCGAGCATCAAGAACAAGACTTCTATCATGATTCTGAGAAGTTTGAAAAACGAGCACTGCCGCGGCCCGCACGGTTGCAACCGCTCCGGGTAATGGCCTTTAGTCACTATCGTCGCGACGATATCCTCGGCCGCCGCCACCCCTGCCGCCCCTGCCGCCCCTGCCGCCCCTGCCGCCTCGTCCGCCTCTCCCACCACCTGAAAATGATTACAATTCCTCTGGTCGAACGATGGTTCAGGATAAGTCTATACCACGTCCACGGAAACCGCCACGTCCTCCGCCGTAGTCATTTCCTGCGGTATGATCAGTTCCTTTCTAATCCAGGTTTTGAGACAGATGCGCTCAGAATTGTGACAAAAAATACCTGGTTGACTGCAGTCACGAGATATGTGCCCTTCTTCGCCGCAACGAAAGCACTTTCTGTCTCCTCCTCCACCACCACCACCTCCTCCTCCTCCTTCCGGACATGCCTAATCAATAGCAAAGGCTCACAAAGCATGGGATTTAGTGTAGAAAATACCCGAGAAATATGCCCAAACTTTCCGCACTATGCATAGGAGACAGACTGTGAGATATGAACTGATGATAGCAGTAGGAACCTGATAACACTTCCTGTCGTCTTTCCCTCCAGATTCCGGGCAATCGCGTGAGATATGCCCTTCTTGATTGCATCGGAAACATTTTATGGATCCGCCTGTCAAGAAACTTCAGGGGAATACAAAAAAATTTGCTTTTGAGAGTACGATCGCGCTGATTTCCATCGGACCGACTCTGATCATCGTGTTCATCATCATGTCTGTTGGATTTGTTCGATTTGGACTTGCTTATGCCCATGGATGCCTATGCTGAACGTTGGTATATCTCTAACACACGAAAGCTGGCAGGGAAAATGAATCGACTAAATCACCTTCTTCTTGGCTGGACCATCATCTGAAATTCTTTCAGCAAACGAAGGAAATCTATGGAAACCCTTCAATTACCTTCGGAATCATCTTCCCCAGATCCAGATCCTTGCATATCCAATTCATCATCGTCGCTATTGTCGTCACTTTCAGCATTTTTCTTCTTGGTCTTTTTGGGGCCTTTGCCCTTTTTCTTTCCTTGATCGCTCTCTGACGAAGACATATCATTGTCAGAACCTCCTTCATCGTCGTCGTCGTCGTCGTCGCCACCGCTAGTTACAAAATGTCAATGGAGCAAGATATGACGCCAATACAGTTCCAATGATTCTCACCTTACATCGTCATCATCTTCATCGTCGTCGTCACTATCAGCTTTTTTGGGCCTGCCCAATCCACCCCTCAATCGCAGGCCCAACACGCTACCACGCAATGCTGTCGGAGCAAGTCTGTTCGTACGCGACAGATGGAGGGGCTGAAAGTCTTGGCTTATGCTTCCTGCAACGACGATAAAGAGCAACAAGATGGTAAGGGGGACAAGCGCCCCCCGCCGCATCCTTCCCGCTCCTGCCGGTGCCATGGGACGGATCTTCTCTGTTATGCCGCAGGTAAACGGAACAGCAGGGTAGGTAGTGTGACATCTCACGTGGGGTGGTGCAGCCCGTGAATGATTTTGAGGGGGTAGGGGTACTATATTCTCAATGAATAGATAGAACCAGATCTCGTATATCATAATTGTAATCATATAAAAAAAGGTACAAGTACCCCCACTTGTATCCAGTCGAAGGATTTGGATCAAACATTGGGTAGGGTACTCACTTTATGGGTAGGTAGAACGAAGCTTGGTGGGGGTCTGTGCGAGGGAATGCAGGGGAGCAAGTGTACCAGGAGGTTCAACAACATATTATTGTTAGTTTTATATTATTTCGTTTTTTAAGGCTAATCACTCAAAATATTCCTTCAACTTTGGCAATTTTCTCTTTTCAGTTGAAAATCTTCATTGTGTAGCCTATTTCTTTAAAATCGAGCATATCAATAACAATTTAAATTGTATTAGGCTGCTGAGGGTTTCAAAGGCTCTGTACCAACAACACAGCCATTCCGGTACAATTTAAAAATATTATTTTTATTATTTTTTTTAATAAAAAATCAAGATAGAAAGTTAAAAATCAGATTCGCCTCAGTTCAGAATGTAGCAAATTGGAAAAGACAGCAGCATCATATGGAAAGGGGTACTTCTAGCCATGATTTCCTTGTTTTGGGTGGGGTGGTCATGGTCACATCCCTTGCTTGCAGCTTCTTTTTCTACCCCTACCCCTCGATACCCTTTAAAGAACCCCCACGGATTACATTTATCAAGATTCGACATGGGTGGGTAAGATACAACAGGGGTGGGTACTCTATGACCCCTGTGTAACACCTTCTAAGACCTTTAATGTGGGGGAAAGGGGGTCAGGGGTACGACTTGGTGGTTCGATGCAAAGGGTGGGTCAAGGAAGTAATGCACATCTTAGTATGTGTAAGGGAAGAAGCTTCGCTCTAACAAGTGTAGCTGTATTGGCCCAGTCTTGGAGTGTAAGTGGGTAATGAGAGGAGGGAAAGAGCCAAGGAAGCATTATTCCGATGAGGAATGAGTGGTGGTTCAACACCAAGGTAGTTAAGACAAGGAGAGGTGGTCAAGATATGGAGCTATAGGGAAAGATCATTTTCGGAGGTGATGTAAATCGAAGTCGCGGCAATTTTTGTAGTGATAGCAAGCCTCAAGCATAATGTTCTATGTGCCATGCGGTTCTCTAACACATGATTTTATTGGTGAAGGATTCCATGTGAACAATTGCAGTTTATCATGGTTCTCGTCAAGTGATGTCTCTATCGACATGTTGTGATCGTGTGTTGTTCACATTGACATGCAGAATGGTACTATCGACCCTAGCTTCTCCAACAGCATCTCAAACATGAGCATGAATCTGCCTCCAATGTCGTCGCAGGGGATGCCCACCAACCAGGCCGCCCATCAAAACATTAACAATCGGGACATGCAAGGCATTTCTCCTGTGCAAGTTTCACGAAACGTACAGAGACAAGGAGATGCAGCCAATGCTCCTCCACATGGATCGTTCGGATTTGGAGCGGAAGGGATACCGACGATCAGCCATGCAGGACATGGCATGAGCTTCGCTCTCCCATCTGTGACGAGTGAGAGCGTGGCAGCCCTCGCTGCTCAGGCTACCATGTTGGCAGCTCAGCTCCGAGAGTACGAGGCAAGAGCTGCTCTGGCTGCTCTACATGTCCTCCCCGGCTCCTCCCAGCAGGCAGAATGTCAACCTAACAATGCTGCTTACCCGGCTTCGCAGCAATATTCCAGTGCGATTGCACAGGAGAGCCGTGCTTGTCAGCTACCGCAGAACACCTTCCCCATGGCGCATGCTCATCGAGGACAAGTGGATCCAGCAGGCAGGTCGAGTGGGGGGTTTCCTTCTTGGCAAGGTACGGCGAAAGCGGTTGTATGTCCTGCGGTGATCGGTAGTGCTTTTCGTTCAGGGTCAGGAGGGGGTGCGCCTGGTGTAAATATGATGGAGTTCGAGACTGCGGAGATGAAGATGGGAAAGCAGTCACTGGACATAAGAAAGAAGAATGACAGAGACAAAAAGCGGCGAAAGTGAGAAAATCCCGAACAAATCTCTGTTTCTGTATTCACCAGATTGCAGGCGAGGAAGGATAGGAGATTTGCTTCGGAAGGTTTTATATCTTTTGCAATCTTTCTTATCGAGCACTGACAGATTCTCTACTTGTAGCTTGACTCGTGTTTGCCGCCGGTAGAGGGGACGAGACAAGTGATCTTTGATCTGCAAAGAAAGTATATGCCTTGACCAAATGATTGACCAGAGGTCGATCAACGAAGTTTTGAGGGATGCAACAGAAGCTGTACGACAGAACCGGGGAGGAGCCAAGGTACCAAAGACCTGTCTGAGAAAACATTTCCTTATCTCGACATGCTCAACAGGAAAAAGACAACTACATGTTTTTGAAGCCTGGTGCCTTACCTGCCGGTGTTATTCGCGACGGTCTACTGTCGATCAAGGTGATCTTGGGTGATGATCACTCGCCTTTACTATTGACATTGTTCCGAACTTGTCTGCCCCTACCATGGTTGTTCTCTTCGTGGCCCTACTTTGCATTCTGAAATCTCTGTTTCACCTCCCCCTTCCTCACTTGGTGTCATCATCGTCCACCAACCTCCAACCGCTCTTCTGACTTGTGAGATCAGGAGACTGGAATCGCAATCATCGACAACAATTTCACCATCCTAAATGCTAACGAGGCTCTCCTCAGCCTCATCGGCTGCTCCTCGGAAGAAACCTGCGACTCCGCCATGCACAATTCACCAGCCAACCAGCAGCAGCCACAAGTGGGTGTTGTCGGGAATTCAATCCACTCTTTCGTTCATCATAGGTACGTATGCATGTTGCGGCTCGCCTTCCATCGTTGTCAGGAGATGAATTTGTTTACAGCGATGTACATTATCTACAGCTAGCGATCCAGCATGTGACAGAAGCTACTTACTTGAATGAGGGACTGAGAAGGTGGGGGGGGAGCGCGTGCCGGTCATGTACTGACAGGAGGAGGAAGATACGTGATCTCCCTCCGATTTCAGAAACGAGCGACGGGCTGCTGCCAGGCAGACAAACTGAAAGAGAGCAATCGGAACATTTCGAGCAAGCAAACCAAGATCTACGAACTGCGACCTGTCGAGGTTTCCGTTGGTTTCTGACGAGGAGGTCGCACTCACGCATGTGTTGTTTCAACTGCACTGGCAGATTGTCCCGTGTGGAGGGCCCTTGTTTGGTCGGAACTTTGTGATGTTTGTACTTCCAGTGGCAAAAGACAAGACGTGAGCGTTGAAGCTTTGTCGGTCCTCGCTCGGTGATGAGAGATGAATGCAGAGCGGACGACATCCTGGATGCCCTGGAACGATTAGCGTACAACATGGGTGAATTATGAACCTCGAAGCCGCAAGGTTGTGACGCTCGCCGGTGCGAACATGACAGAGGTTGCGGACAAGTCGTTTCTGCCCCTGGAGATGGCAGATGAGGTGGGAAAGTTTGGTGTTGCCGTCATTGTTACAAGCGTCTTGCTGTCGGGACGAGAGTGACGGTGGCGAGCAGGTCGATTTCAATGGGGCGCACAAAGTCTGCAAGATCCATGAGGACCTTGATCCTTTCCTCGTCCTCGTCCGGATGGCGGAACAGGTTCTGCTGTTGTCTCGTTGCTCGTCAAGACTCTGAGAGCTGTAAAACTAGGACAACGAACTTCTCAATGTGTTCGAGTCGGAGCTTGAAGGGCATGATCTGGTTGCTACCCCTCTTCCACTGATCGCCCTCCTTTCTCCTTGCCCTCTCTGCCGTCATTCTCGTCCTTCCCCTATCTCCTCTCGTAATCGCATCTTTCAGTTCTCTGCGAATCTCATGAAAGAGCTCCGACTGTGCGTGCCCAAACGGACACACTCGAGCGAAGTCTTCAGCGACGTCGTCTTGGAGGTGACACTCGGCATGGCGCAGCGATTAGGGGCCACTGACAGGACTCGAGGTCTCATCCTACGTGAAAGACAAAATCCAGACTCAAATTCGCCGGAAAGGGGACCAGATCTTGATCCAAACCTTGATGGGGAGATGTGTGCTCTTTAGCGTTAACTTCGTCAAAGTCGGAGACGAAGTTCTTGTCAGGCCGCTCCACACCTTCACCGACATGTCTGAGGCCAAGTAGTCCTGCCATTGCTCCCCTCCCTCCGATCTAACGGCTCGCTCTCCAGGCTCAGCAACAACATGCATAACCAGCTGGGTTCGCCGGGACGTGTGAGGCTGCTTGCGACCGGAGAGGTGTGGATCTCAGTGAACAGCGCGCTTCCTATCTCTACGCCTGGGCTAAACATGTGAGTAGTGGAGTAGGGAAGAGAGAATGAGGAGGTCTGGCTGACGGGGATGTAGAGCATGGATCAGCATGAACGGCATCATCTCGCGGGCTGGAAATGATCTGATCTCGATAAGGAGATATCCTATCTACAACAATGAGACATTCTCTCAGAGCAGAACGTGAAATTCAATCTGATGTGTTTCTCCTCTGACTGCAGTACAGGTATCGGCGATCTGCAAAGCCTGGTAACGAAACCACAGCATCTCTCCTCCTCCCGTTCCTCTCACTCCTCGCACTTCGCTTCATTTTCGGTTCCTTCTCGCTCATCTCTGCTCAGAGCAAGTCGCCCTTGGAAACTGCGAGTCGATCTGCCACCTCCTGTCGCTCTACAAGGCCTGGGTTTATCACCGCCCCCTCGCTCCTTACGATCTTCCCTCTCCGGTACGCTCTCGCGCCCTCCGCTCCTCCCTGATAAGTCTCCAGGCGGACAATAGTGAGAACTTGAGCCGGCAGAACAGCTGGGGGTCCTTGTCGGACCTGCTCTCATGGCCGCAGAGCGCGCATGGTTCGTTTGTGAACAAAGAATGACGAAGGTGAAGGAGTAGAGTGAAACAAGATGAACATATATATGAAGTGATTCCCTGAGCGTTCGCCGTGTTTTCATGCTTTTTTCTCCTCCGACTGCTGCGGAAGAAGGGAGGTCGCATTTTGAGCACACGGCGCAAGCAACGACACTTTAAGTTGATAGGAAGTAGATTAGAACGGATGAAGTCTCTCAGACAAACTCTCTCTGTGACACAGGAGAGGCGTCGCCAAGGAGGTCGTGAGCCCCGAGCAGCATGAAGCCAACAACAGCCTTGCCGATGACATCCAAGATGCAGTACATGGTGACCTGAAAACATCGTTAAGGAAGATGGAGGCGAGAGATGTAACCAGACCTCGAAGGAGACAGAGAAGTTGCCAAAGCCTTCGGAGAAGAGCCAGACAAGAGGGTAGCAAGCAAAAACACCAATGGTGGTCCAGGCCATCTTGGAGTACAACTTGGCGAGCTCCTCGCTCTTGCTCTTGCTCGCGTTGTCGTAGGTGCGAGCGAAGTTGAAGATGGCAGCAGCCAGTCCGAAGAGGGAGATCAAGAACCACACCCACTTCACTTCCTGAGCGACGGAGATCGATCCCATGTAGGTTGCAGCAACCCACACGACTGTCAACACCAGTCAGCAGCGAGCTGATCAAAAGCAACGAGTTTGCAAAGAGCATGGTGGACAAGCAACAAGCCATGAGATGAACATCATCGCTCCAAGAGAGGGAGGACATGTGGAGCATCAAACATGCTCTCTGCTCACCCTGCCCAGCAACAGCATATGCCATGTCGGTGAAATCAGCTCCAGCAACGAGGCCGAGCCAGATGGCGATAACAGGAGCAGTGACAATCCAGTCGATGTACCTGAACAATGAGCGTCACCACATGCATCGCCTTGTCTCATCTCATACCTGGCGTAGAAGAATTGACGGCATCCATCAGTGACAGTCCAGCCCTGGCCAGAGAGCATGGCAAAGTCTGCCATGGCTGACCAGAAGCAGAAGAAGATTGCGCAGACATAGAACCTGATTGGAGCAAGGATCAGTTGAAGAACATCAAGATGATAGTTCTTCCTCGTTACGAGTTTAGAACATGGTTTCATTCACACTCAGATCATGATAGCGAGATGTCTATGTACATGAGGCCAACAACGTACACAAAACTGACATGTGACACTTATGAAAGTGACAGGCATCATTGTAAAAATACACAAAGTTGCAAGAGATTTGACAGTGATAGGCGATACATCAAATGGTATTCACATTTTCACACTATTTCATCACTTTCTGATCACGATGCAGAAACAAACTTTTTGCATTGTCAGCTTGCTTTGGGCCCTCCGTGACTCAACATCTTGTTTCTTACCTCTTCTGTTCGTGAGAGTTGTGCCCCTTGTAGGCGAAGACAGCAGCACTCACTCCGAGGATGAGGAACGTGATGGTCAGAGCGCCAACCCCCGTCGACCCGACCTCCTCGATCGTCGCGCACGCTGCCATGATCCCGAAATAGCTTGACTTGCTCTCCTCGCGCCCGAAATAGCCCAGACCGCGAAAGCTGGGTGACCGCTAAGTTCCACCCGCCGGCCTGCCCGGGCCGCCGCCGGCCAGCCCGCCGGCCCGGGGCGGGCGTGACTCGTGACGTGACCTCTGGGTGACCTGGGGCGGGGTGACCGGATTCCGAAGTTCAGGAGGCTGGGCTCAGCGTACGGTCCGGGACTACACGAAACCAGAATTGAGCCTGGAGGACATGAGAGGTAGACTGTATGTTAGGATTTGAAACCCAAGCCGCCCCGATCGGACAATGGCGATGAGGAGACCTTAGCAAGACGGCTAGCCTATTAGGAAGGCCCCCCGGTGCTGAGTCATCCCACATGCTACTACATGGCTGCCTCAGTGCCCGGCAATGGAAAAATTCACTCGCCCGGCCGGCGCGCCGCGGCGTCGGGCGCGCCGCCTGTAAGAACTCAGGTTCTGACAAACCTCTCAGAAGTTCTTTAAGACGCGATAAGTTCAAGGGATGCGTCTAATCAGGTTGTGAACCAAGTGAAGCCTGCAGGTCCAAGCTAGTGGGCTGGAGCTTAGTCTGTGACTTAGAAGATCCGGTTGGTTGGAGCCTGGGGAAGCTGAGGCGGCGCCGGAGGAATCAAGAGGCGCCGGATGTCGAAGAGGCAGCACTCGTACAGTGGTGGAAGTAAGGCGGTGGTGTGTGAAGGGAAGCTGTTTGGTTGGTCTTGCTGCTACGAGTGTTGGGAATAAAGTGCTGGGGATTGTTGGGAAGTTGATCTGAGTTATCTGAGGTGTTTGGTTGGCTGTGAAAGTCATTGGTGTCTTCGTGCGCACATCATCTGTGAGTCTTGGTCTTTGGACTTATCAGTCAGCTGTTGAGCTGTTCTACTAGTCATTCATCTGTGCACAGACTCTAGGAGTCAGGAATTGATTCCAATACAAAAAGAAAATTTTCTTTTTGTATTCACGAACAAAGGAATACAAAAAGACTCTACGATAAGATTCCAAGGACAGCCGAGTTTAAGGGCTCTTGGTCTTTGTGCGTCGAATTGACAACGAGTTTGAAGGCTCTTTAAGGCTCCTGGGTGTTGTACTGTACGCTGTTACTCATTTTTTTTGGAACGGTATTGGTAACTCCAAGTTGACGATCATGAGCATGCCAGATCTGCAAGAGGAGTTGAAACGAAGCCATGGTGATGTTCAGGTCGACAAGCTGAAGCATGGGAAGGTTACCTCCAAGGAAAAACTCGAGGACCTGTTCCTTCCTTTCTCAGGTGCCATGAGTCGTTTTCGTCCGAATCTTGGGGCTTGTTTCTTAAAACTGTTGGACTTGTTTCCGATTGACGAGACTGGATCGTTTGTTGGAGAATTTCATGAAATGTGGGAGTCGTCTCCAGAAGGTCTAGAAAAATTCTCTTCGCTGGAGTGGAAGATTCAGGTCACGGCGTTGTTTCTGCATGCTGGGTACATTTGGAAGAATGGGAAGAAATTCAAGGATGCTCTTGAGAAGTTTAAGAAGTTGCGAGGAAAATTCGAGGAGGCAATCGCAGCCAGCGAGGATGTGATTGATGGTGCTTCAGAGGATGGAGAGATGGGTAATCCACTCGATACATCTGTGGTTTTCTCTCCACACAAGTACCAAATATCACCGAGGTTGTTCAGATCCTCAGCTGATCGACAGGAGGTGGAAGTCTTATTTGAAGATATTGCTGAGAGTGGCAGATGTCAGGAGGAGGCAACTATCCTTTGGCATTCTTCAAAACTTTGGCACTGGTACGCTGGAATGTAAAGCAACGAAGTGGAGCTGAGCTTATCGAGCTTACTGAGGACGAAGGGAGAGATCAGCTCAGAGCGCTAGCGAAACAGCCACTTGAGTCTGAAGAAGCCTTCTGGAGGAACGTGGACAAAATCAAGCTACTGTTTAAGAATCTCAAGGATAGTATTCAAGGTGTTGTGGGGGCACACCAAAGGATGGGGCCGTTAGAGATCCAGATCGCTGAACTCTTGCATGCCAGGTGTAAAGAATCGACTTGTGAATCGTTGCAGTCATTGGCATTGAATAGAGAATTGCGAAATTGGAAGAAGAGTAATATGAGACCAGAAAAGATTTCTCTCGACGAAATATTCCACTGGGGGCGCATCTTAAAAACTAGAAGCAAGACGACTACGACCGTGACGCCCGCGATGGATGCGAAGGGAGACGTGTCAGTGGTGAATATCACTGTGGCAAGTGAACCGATGGTACCGAATGAACCGCAGGCTGTCGGAGAAGTTGCAGTGGGCAAGAAGAGATCCTCGGGGTCAGGCGAAAATAGTGGTCAAGCGGATTCGGGAGAGAATTCTCACGTCGATCCCAAATGGTATGGTAATTACCCAGTTCGTGGGAGTATACCTCCATCATATCCCCAAGGTATCATGTTTCCCAGCCAAGACCCGTTTTTCAATTTCTATGCTCAAGGTCAACCCTCTATGTATCCATTTCCTATCCAAGGTCCGGTCGGGAACGTCCCAACGTTTTACCAGGCTTCTGGTCAAGCTCCTTCAGGACCTGGTAGGGCGGGACAAGATCAGGCGGCGTTTGACCCTAGCTCATACCGTGGTGGTTTCCCTGGCCGCGGAGGCGAGGGGGACGGCGGACCTAACCATACGGGTTACCGTGGCAGGGGAAGGCGGAATCAGGATGGGTACCATAATGGAGGGAGAGGAAGTTTCAAAGGAGGCTATGGTAGAGGTCAGGGTGGACAGAAAGGACATGGAGGCAAAGGTTGGAAGGGTGGTCGAGGTCATGGAAATTTCAATCACAACCACAACTACAATAACAACAACTACAATCAAAATAATGGCAACTACAAAAATCAGCGGTTTAACCCTCGAGGGGTTGAAAGTGAACAACCGTCATCTGTCTTGCAGAATTTGTTGTCAGGGGGAGTTGTGGACGCTGAAACCACGCGCAAGATGGGGGAAGCGTTGATTCAGGCAGCTCAACGCATGGCAGCGAATGCTTCTTCAAGTTCACACAGTCACCAGCAGAAGGCTGACGCAGACGGCCAGCGGAATGAGTCAGAAAAGAAATCTTCTGTTCCTGCAAATCCATTTGAACGCTCATCGGCCCAGAATGCAACGGAATCTGCATCACAGGCTAATCGAAGGCAAGGAGCGTGGAAAGCAAATTTCACATTTGGTCTCGACTCCACGTCTACCATCGAGGAATTGCAGGAAATTGCATTGCAGGTAAAGGAGAAAGAAGGAGCTGGAGGCCATACGTTCTTGCTGGACTCTGGTGCTAATATCTCCATGGTCAAGGAAGAGTCTATGTTGTTTGATGTCCAAGCTGGACCTGAATTTCAGGTGCTTACCGCTGGAGGTACTGTCGTCTGTGATAAGGTTGGAAAATTACGACTGCAACTGGTTTGTCCAACAACTAACACCTGTCTGGACGAGATTATTGTCAACGTTCGCGTATGCCCGCTAGTCCCAATATCGTTGCTTAGCTTGGATGATGTTCTTGGGACTGACTACCACATGTTATCACGGGGCTCCAGGAGTGCCCTAAAGTCTTACATTTGCTCAGAAGATGGTGCATTGAAAATCGATGTATTCCAACGAGATAGGTTGTACTTTTTGCAGACGGTTCTCATGGGAGATGGGAAGATTAGTGTGGCGTGCAACAGTACAACCTCTTGCGCTGGTACGAGCAATGGTGATAATTACAGTGGGGGTCCATCAAGTTTAGTGACTCTCAAGCCAGAGGAGAACATGTGTGAGCAGTCCCGATTGTCAGCTGCGACAGAATCGGCCATCTGGCACCTTCGGCTCGGACATCTGGAAGCAAAGATTCAAAAATTACTAGCCGATTCGGTGAAGTATATCACGTGACAGCTCTCGTCCTAAGGTACAGAAGATTGTATCTGACAACGGTTCAGAATTCAGCTCTGTGGAGCTGGAGAGCTTTTTCGTTGATCATGGGATACGACATGACAAAACTCCAGAGTACTCTCAGGTCTACAATGCGTTCGCTGAACGTGGAATCAGAAGCGTAATGTCCATTCATCGGACGTTACTACGTCAGAGCGGGGTACCCCGGAGCAAATGGGAATATTCCGTACAGCAGGCAGTTTTACTGTACAACATTCTGCCTAGTGGACGAAATCTAGGGTATTCCTCACCATACTTGATATATACAACCGAGCAGTTTGACTATCGCAAGCTCAAGGTTTTTGGGTGCAGCACCTTCTTCAAGAATGAACTACGCACGTCAAAGGTGGATGATCCAGCAATTCATGGTTTAAATCTGGGAAACGCGTGCGCTTTCTCTGGATATAAGGTGGGGTATTTGGTTTGGGATATCGAGCATGATAGAATCGTCCATACGAATAATCTTACGTTTGACGAGCTGTATTTTCCATTACGTTGCCGACGTTTTCAGGCATCTAATGTGGAGGATGAATTGTTGAAGGAACTAGTACCTTGTGCACCAGTGGCATCTGACGACGACGAAGACTCCTCGGAAAATGCGAGTGAAACAGAATTGCAAATTCCTGAGGAAGTTGCAACGTCTGGCAGGAAGCGACACTGTCAGAGAGGCTCTGGTCCTGACGCAAGTGAAGTTTCCGCGAGCAAGCGCCTCCAATTGGAATTTCCACCTTCCTCGGTCCAAGGCCTGACATCTGGAGATCAACGGGAGGATACAGGAGAGCTTCGGTTGAGGGATGATACCGAATATGTGCCTGACGGTGCAATGTCTCCAGTTCCTCCAGCAGGCAGAAGAACACGGAGGGATTTCAAGGCGGAGCGAGGGGTCTTGGAAAGCAAATATGTCAATCGAGATGTCGAAGTTCTTGTAAATGGTCAAGTAGAGCAAGGCAAAATTTTGCAGATGGTTTTCAAGGAGGGAAAGTTTCTCGCGCGGATTGTTTTCCCAACTCTCGACAATTACTGGGTGTTACGGTCTGTCACTGATCCTGACATCAAGTTTTTGGAACAAACCGAACAGAAGGCAATGGTGGTGCTTACAAGTGGGGAGACAATATCAGAGGTCTGCATGTTAGCAGATTATTACTCGTGCAGCTTTCCACCGAACGTCTTTGGTGATATGACCGACCATACCAAGGTTTTTAAACCCTGTCTTGATCGTGCAGCGGATGAGATCAAGGATGTTGTCGAAGCTACAGTTGGGGGTTCGCCTGAAGTGGTTGTACTTTCCCAGCACAAGAAATTTCCACAGTATCTGCAAGTTACACATATTGTGCAGGGGTCGACTGAATCTGAAGAGATCTTGTATGTTTGGGACAGGGGGGAAGACAGGACAAGCCTTCAGCCAGCATCCCAGCGTTTTGTTCCAGTATGGAGGGATGAGATGTACAAAACTCGTTTACAGCATGTCGATCCTGTGTCATCTGCCCCACAGGTCAGTGCTAATGTGGACCCTACTTTCAGGGATACGCGTCTTCTTGTGGCGAATCTAGCGTTGGTCTCTCCCGTATGGGACGCGGTGGAGCTGGCGTCTGACCTGTTATCTCTGATGTCTTCCGACCGTGACAATCCAACTGCAATGCCTGAGAATCAGGCAGATTACGCGATGACAGCGGCTTGCGATGCAGGAGATGTGGAGAACGAAAGTAGTTTTGACAAGTTACCAGATCCCAAGACAAGGTCAGAGATGTTACGTCGTCCGGATCGGCATCTTTGGGAGCAGGCTGAAAAGGAGGAAATTGCGAAGATCGAAAGTCGTGGGGTCTGGGAAGTTGTTACGCGTGATCAGAAAAAACAGGGAGTCAAATCATTCTGTAATTGCTCGCGCCTTGTGGGTGTATGCTTCAAAACGAGACGTGAAGGGCAAGATCTTGAAACGAAAGGGGCGGCTAGTTATCATGGGCAACTTACTTCCTTCATCTGAAGAATTGTTTGCACCGACTACATCGTTGGACAATATCCGGCTCTTGCTGAGCATCGCGGCAGGCAACCGTTGGAGAATCACATTCAGGGATATCTCTGCTGCTTTCTTGTATGGTGACTTGGAGGTTCCTGTGTATTTGATTCCTCCAGATATCATGAGTCTTCCTCCTGAGTGCCTCCTCAAAGTCTTGAAGTCGCTCTATGGACTTCGCATTGCACCAAGGAGATGGTATCTTAAGTTCACGCAGGTGTTGAAGACGGTGGGAGCAAGTGGGATAGGACATGATGAGATCATCTACCGATACTCCAACTGTGCGGGGGACGTCTTGCTTCTGACTGTCTTCGTGGATGACTTACTCATTGTCTCTCAAACTGAAGCAATTAAGATTGAGTTTCTTGAGAAGCTCAACACAGTATTCGACTTTTCGGGGAGTGAGGCAACAGGTACCTTCTTGGGCATTAAAATAGAACAGAATGACGATCAGGGTCGGATAACTTTGTCACAACAGCATTTCATTGAAAAGATTGTTGAACGCTTTGAAATCGTTGCCAGAGGTGTCAAAACGGTATTACCTGGTCACTATCTCAAGACTTATCACTTGGAGGGTAAGTTGTTGAACAAGAAGGAAGTCCGCACTTATCAGAGTCTTCTGGGGTCCATTCTCTACGTGGCAAATTGTACGAGGGTTGATATCGCATTCGCGACGAGCGTCCTTAGTCGCTTTGCTCGGGCTCCTAGGCAGTGCGATATGGATGCCTTAATTCATCTTCTACAGTACCTTTACACTACTCGGGAGGTTCAGATCGTATACCATTGTCACGGAGTATCTTACCACCAGGAGTGTTTTGTCAATGAGATGATTGCATTCAGTGATGCTGGTTGGGGTACCGAGATTATTACGAGACGGAGTCAAAGCGGATATGGAATCGTTCTGAATGGTGGGGTAGTCGTCTTCGGTTCAAAAATGCAGAAGGTTGTTGCCCTGAGTTCTTCAGAAGCTGAAATTTATGCTGCCACCACATGCGCGAAACTAGTCAAGCTTTATAGAAATCTCTTGGGTCAGATGGGATTTACGCAGACTCGTCCTACTCTCTTGCTAATCGACAATGAACCATGTCTGAGGCTTTTGTGGGACAAGCGAAGTTATAGTCGACTCAAACACATTGATATTCGAACGAAGTATGCTGTTGATTTGGTAGAAAAGGACGAGCTCTATCCAGAAAAGATTCATACTTCTTATCAGCCTGGTGATTTGCTGACGAAAGTTCTGCCTTTGAATCGGTGGAGGCTCCTTGGTGAATTTCTCTTCGGAGACCCCTTACCGGATATGCTGCTCTGAGGATGCTCGCCTGTCATGCTCTCTGCGCTTCATGCTCTCTGCGCTTCTGTCAGGGTCAGTGCTACTCTGTTCCCATGCCGTCAGTCGCCAAAGTTGTATGCCCCGTGTGTGATTGACGGTGATCCGAGTTCCAGTCTCCGACAAGGAGATTCAACCGATCCTGCTGCGGTGGCTTCCAGGCTTTATCTTCCGTCTTCTATCCGATTCAGGGAGGGTGTCTCGGGTGATGTCACCGAGGAGACTCTCATGGAGAACGTGAAGGAATCGGATGAATCGGAAGGAGGATAAAGACAGACACGTCTTCCTCAAGCCTGTGGCTAGCTGCAACCAAGACATCTGTTCTAGGTTAGTATCTTAGAAACTCGCTCATCCTGATCTATGGAACCCATGACGGTAGTGAACGATGAAATTGAATGGCCAAAATGAAAATTGAGAAAGAAATGACGGATGAGTCGAGATCGATAAGTCATGTGGTTGAAATGAAAGCGCTGACGTCAAAAATGATTGTGCCTTGGCAAAACAATGATCCCCGGGGTAGATAGGATAGAAAGGGCCCATAGATTAGAAACGAGAAAATTGTGTTCAAAACAATCAGAGATCAATCAATGCATTGCAAGAATTCTGAACCTGATCTCTGGAGCTTGATTGGAATTCTAAATTCTTGGCATCATCAATGGGTGGAGATGTCTTCATTGCTCAATGCGCAAGCTTCAGAGAGGTCACACGATGACCAATCTCATCATGAGGATCAGGTTGAAGAGGAGGAGGAGCTGTCTGACTTGAAAGATGCAGATGTGTTCAGGACTTAGTCTTGAACTGACACTGCAGGCAGCTGGGAAGAGTTTATGATGGAAGGTGAGGAGGAGCGCAGGTGTCACAGGAGGAGAAACGCAAGTGCACCAGGGTGCACACTTGAAGCGAAGGAGGAGCGCAGGAGGCATGCAAGATGGGGGATGAGCCTGTGCAGAACGGTTGATGGAGTGGTAGCAGCAAGATGACCTTGGAGAGGAGAGCAGCATGGAAGTCAGCTTGGGAAAGATGTTGATGGTCAGGTGATGGGAGCAGCTGACAACGCTGCAAGAAGCTAGAGCGAGCGTTGGAAAGGAGGACATCGCAGGGGACAGCTGCTTAGCTGTCAAGCAGATGATTTTGACAAGCTGAGAAGGTTGCAGCCTTCTGACTTGCTTCCCAAAGGGAGGGTGTAAGAACTCAGGTTCTGACAAACCTCTCAGAAGTTCTTTCAGACGTGATAAGTTCAAGGGATGCGTCTAATCAGGTTGTGAACCAAGTGAAGCCTGCAGGTCCAAGCTAGTGGGCTGGAGCTTAGTCTGTGACTTAGAAGATCCGGTTGGTTGGAGCCTGGGGAAGCTGAGGCGGCGCCGGAGGAATCAAGAGGCGCCGGCTGTCGAAGAGGCAGCACTCGTACAGTGGTGGAAGTAAGGCGGTGGTGTGTGAAGGGAAGCTGTTTGGTTGGTCTTGCTGCTACGAGTGTTGGGAATAAAGTGCTGGGGATTGTTGGGAAGTTGATCTGAGTTATCTGAGGTGTTTGGTTGGCTGTGAAAGTCATTGGTGTCTTCGTGCGCACATCATCTGTGAGTCTTGGTCTTTGGACTTATCAGTCAGCTGTTGAGCTGTTCTACTAGTCATTCATCTGTGCACAGACTCTAGGAGTCAGGAATTGATTCCAATACCGCCGCCAGGCCGGCGGCCGGGCCCCGGGCGCCGCACCGCCGTCCGACCGTCCGACCGTCACTGTCACCGGCTCACCGGGTGACCGGCGGCCAAGTCACAGTGAAGCCAGTTCGGACCCGACTGATCCCGGCTGTCGACTTGTAGTAACTTGGCTAAGCCCCGCCACTGTGACACGGTACGGTCCGAGGCTGAGCCTAGCCTCGGTGATCGCCGGGATCGGACTGACTTATCTTACTAGGCCATACTCACTGACCGGCCATCGCGCCCGCCGGGGCGGCCCGCGGCGGGCCGGCCGGGCCCAGCCTGCCAGGCACTGTCAGGCGGCACGGTTCAACGGCGCCGCGGTTGAGAGTTACCCCGGCGGCGTCGGAGACGGTCCGATCGGAGCCAGCCTGCCCGGCGGGCTCAGCCCGGCGGCCCGACTTCAATCCCTTTACTGACTTCAATGGTTTCACAGTTTAGTTAAAAATCAGGGTTTTCTTCAATAGCGGGAGGAGGAAGGTAGGATCAACATCTGGTGGTTTCGGCATCCAAGAAGAGGATCCTTGACGATCCGATCGCACCTGCACAGGCCTACTGGTTCTAGCTCTGAAATCTGCCTAGGATACCTCGTCCCGACTCTATACTCGCCCCTGCTCCCCCTTCAATGTCTGCTGACCTGCGAAACCTTCACTGGCTCACCTCAATGAGCAAAATCTTCCTTCTCCTCCACCTCCTCCTTCTCTTCTCCTTCTTCTCTCCTTCAGATGCAAGTAGGAATCATCTGCCCGTTCTCCGCCTACCGTCCCTGCGCCTCCGAGGAGGTTACCAGCGAATCGAGCCACAAGTGAACGCAACGTGGGATGCCCGGTCACTCAAGATGGAAATAAAGGAAAAGGGCTGGGGGGCTTGCTATTGGAAGACGAATGGAACTGAAGATTACTTGGTTTGTGCGATCTTGGATAGCAAATTGTTTGATTAAAAGCTCATGCAGGGCATTGCAGGGAGAATCTTCGCGTTCGAACCTTCAAAGTGAGTAACTCATGCGAATGTTCCCGACGAGAGGCTGATAGACCTGCATCAGGACGTGTATCTTGCCGTTATGGAATGCCGAGATCGAAGACTTGAGTTTCCCGCGTTGGCAGGACGGCAAGGAGGTTGATTTCGAAGAGATGAAACGGGTGAATCAAGCTGGTTACCCTTTCAGATTCTGGCTTTCAAAGCTTCTCAACACCAAAGAGGAAGGCGAGAATAAGCTGAAAATTGGTGGACTGTCCTCCTTGGCCTCGCCTTTCCAACTTATTGCGTTGACAAATTCCATTCAGAGCAACTTCATGGCCCCTTATGACTTCATCATCGCAGACCGGAAGGTAATCCGGCAGAAGTACGCGGTGAAGGAGCGTCCATTCGGCAGCAAAGACAACTGCTGGGTGTTCCAGATGCAAGGGGAGGGAGAGCCCAGGATTGTGAATATCAAGCTGGGGGAGGACGATCGTATGTTGTCGCAGAGAGAACCGATGCACGTCTTCCAGCTAGAGACCTTCAATGCTTCCTTAGATCGCCCGGTCGACGTCACCCACGGCGTCTCAGGACTTCCTCTCTTGCTAAATGGTGAAAGAGTCTCCACGTATATCCGGTGGAAGTCAAACTTGAGGCCGATGCGCCCCAATGAAGTCACGTGGAACCCTGAGACAACAAGAGCTGCCTTCACTGCAATCTGCACGCTAGGAGAGCATGTTTGCCTCGCCACCATCTTCAAAGAGCTCACTGTGCACGAATTTGCCGTGTGCTTGCAGGTATCAAGGACGGGGAGGCGAACGTATGCGTTGATCTACATTTGGCAGGATTTCGGAATGAGAGACGCGCTGTTGCTGGGAGGGAGTGGGGACGTTTGCAGCTGGGTTCGACAAGGTCAATCGCCGTGAATGTAAATCTTGCTGCTGACTCTATGTGAAGAAAACACTCAAGGTGACCTTGACACAAGTTTCTTGGCCGCCAAGCCTAGATCAGGTTGTGATCGTCAGGTTTAATGGAATTCTTTCGCGATTGAACTTGGCGCTCTCAGGTAGTACGAGATCTTTCATTCGACGAGGCATAAGGCCGCTCAATGCAGTGATAGCGGCTTATTCTAAATCATGATCTTCTACCTCTTCTTGTAAATTCACTTCCGTGTGGACACTTGTTTGCTCGACCTTCTCGGCTTGTTTTCAGGGCTGACAATCCATAACACCCATCACATCTAATGCATCCTTGAACTTGGATTGACGACTTTGAGGCTATAGCATAGACATTCACGTCTTTGATAATTTCACTGTCTCTTTTCATTCTCACCCTAGGGGATCCTTCTCTAAAACCCCTTGTTTGATCGAGCACCTTCGACTTATCAATGATTGCGATGAGTCTTCAAGAAAGTTCGTATGGATAACATTAGCAGGATGAATCAAACCAAGAAAGTTCGGGCTGAAACTTTTAGCATGGTTTCAGTCAAACTTCAACAATCCCTCACGCTCAATGTTTCGGTGGATCCACCAGCCCGATGCAGCTCCAACTTAATTCTGCTCGTTAATCCACCCTTCAATATAGGTTGCCCGACGCGACACTTTTTGGGAGGACCTACCCGCCTGCCCCGGGGCGCCATGGAGGAGCACGGGAGCATGCGAGACGTGAAGGGACAAGGGCTCTGCCGGGTCTGATCGAGCAAGCTCAGGCTGCCCTCCCCGAGTCCATCTTTGACTCCATCGACTGGTTTCAGACCAGAAGCGCTGGGCCCTAGCAGACCAACAGCTGGTTGGGCCGCATCGTTGTAGGGAATAAGTTGGAGCATGTCGAGCTCGATGTTCAGGTATGCTGTCATGCTTGTGGCTTGCTAGCACAATGAGCATTCTTCAGTCGCAGAAGACCAAAGTGGAAGATGCGAGAGGATGAGCATTCTTCTTCGGAAGACGAGATGTTAGTAAGAGAAAAGCTCATGTGCAAGTCTCCGTATTGATGTTCAGCGCAAAGGAACTCTCAACGACCAAGACGGCTTCATCAAGAAAGCTTGCCGAGACTCTTTCTCGTGCTGGTCTGCTACAAACTCCTTGCGCTGTACGCAATCCCGACTACCTCGGGAAAAGAAACATGCCAGACGTCGAGGAAGACAAGTCGGCGGTTTGTGTCTCGAATACCAGGGCAGAGTTCGCAACGTAAGAACACTTAACTTGCATGATGGGTGTGCTTTTGACCTTTCACAGAGATGCGTCGGAGCAGCAGGCTGGCTGCGATCAAGCTGAGAGCATCCAGGGCGGAAGAGCTAACCTGAGACCACACGCCATGTCCGAGGGCTGGATCAACGAAGATGAAGATCCAGCAAGCTTCTCATTCCAGAACAACGAGGACACAGCGAGTGATGCAGATTATCAACCTCAGATACGTTCCTCCTCAGCTCTTGTTGCACGCCGAATCGAAAAGTCTCTCAAGAAGGACAACTCAGGATCCGATTCGAGCGAAGAGGAGGAAGATAAGGATGAAGATGTCGCATTTCTTTCAGTCATCTCCAAACTCAATGAAATTTCGCCGACAAGTTTTAATGTCAAACTGTACAGGAAGAAGAAGTCTGTTCTAAGAATATTCCAAAAGGGATCTGATGACAGTGAGGATGAAACAAAAGACATGAAACAATTGTCCAACAGTGTAGTGCAAGTTGCATACCAAAGTAGACTAAACAAAATACACGGAGCACAAGATAATAGGTAAAGGAACATCGTTCTAAGCAATATGATACAGTACATCATTTTGTCTCATGTTGTCTCCCTAGCTTACAAACATTGTTCCGTTGCTGTTCTCTTTGTCGTCAAATTCAAGCCGATGTGTTTACGAGTGTAATCACAAACACAGAACAACTACACATTATGTTCTGGCTGCCTGCTCGTGCTTAAGCCCTCAAACGGCTGAGCTTCCTTCTGTCTTGCCTCAAACTCTCTTGACTGTCTCCCAGCGCTGCTTGCTTGCTTTGTCCTGACTTTTTCTCACGCTCGCTTCTTCCTCTTCCACCTTGTTAGAAGCTTCCTTGCCTGTCTGCCTGCCCGCCCGTCCCCGAGCCTGCGGCCTGCCAGCTTCCTCCCTGCTCCCTCTCCACAGGAAGTAGGCCCGGGGTCGGGTAGTAGAGGGCTATTGCGGGGGTGATGACCGCACAAGGGTGGTCGTAAACGGGCGGATCAGATTTCTCCCTCAGTTCTGATCTGCAGGATGGAACGTTCTTACCCACCAATTTCACTCAATATTACTTCGGGTAGTGTACTGACTACCCACCCATACCAGCCTTCGGGAAAAGGAGGGTTAGCACTATTTCCTGATATTCTACATTCCGCCACCTTGATGCTGCCGACCAGGTGTTCGCAATGCAGGAAGGCGTGACGAACATGGCGCTGGCGTAGCTCACGCCATGAAGAAAAGAAGATCGTCTTCCGTAACAACGCTCCAAATCCTCTACACCTTCTTCGTTGCGAAGAGGATGGTTTTTGGTATTTCCTGTCAATGCATAGCTTGTGTATTTCTTGATTTGCTTAATAACAGGGGAGGTTTGCTCAACCCTGAGTTATGGGGAAGGTTTCGCGACATCGTCGGTAACTGCTGGCAGTCTAAAACACTTCTATATTCACGTGAGAATAGCATCGACATCTGCATTGAATCACTTCCTAACATGATATCCCAGTCTCGAGATGAATATGGAAATCCGGTGCAAGCGCAGAATCTGTCGTACCTTGCAACCTTTCGAAACCAAAACGGGCTGCAGTTGGAAATCCAAAGTAGTCCACTCAGAGGATATGTGAAAAGCGTTTGGATGAGGGAACAGGGATCAAGTTGTCAAACGAATGGGACTTTGGTGTCCGACCGTGGCAGCGGTGGTGGTACAGGCTTCAGAGCAACTTTTGAGGTCTCTGGTGGGGCAATAGTCAACATTTCAATTGTTTCAGGAGGAGATGGATACATATCAAGACCGTAAGCCTTTGTCTGTTTGTTCTATCGTTCCCAATGAATGCGTTTCGCAGGCTTATTGTGATCGAATCCGGGGGTCTGGGTTGTACAGGTTATCTGTTCGGAGTTGAAATCGAATCAGCTGCAGATCATGTTGTACCCTTTATCACAACCGTGTCTGGCAGTTACCAAGTTGCTGTCTTTCTTCTTTCTCCAGGAGGAGGATCCATCACGTATTCAAACTCTTCTAGCCAACTCTCACCCCCAACAGTTTTGATCGATCAAAATGTTTCCAATATTTCTTTATTCACGCAGCCTTCCTTCCCTTACCGCAGGTATTCAAAAATTATGTTTTCTTTCCCGTCGCTGATGGACTTGATCATTAGATTGCGATGGGATGGAGTTTTTGTAAATTTTCCAAACTTCTTTCTTGGGTCATCAGCAGGGTTGGCAAGGGGCATTGTTGAAGTGGACATATTATTCCCTGGGAGTGGATGTACTGAGGGAGGAATCCTCAAGGAAAGGTATGATTAGAATATTTATATTCTGACATTGATACAGGCCATTAGTGACTCTGGCGATGGATTCGAAGCCAGTTTCACAATTTACAAGTATTTGAACTCAAGCAATCAGGTTGCACAAGGAATACATCGCATCGGTATTTTGAATCAAGGTTCGGGATACCAAGAGCAGCCACAGTTGTACATAGCAGCAGGGGGATCAGGTTGCCAAGATTTTAAGCTTCTTCCTCTTCTATCCGACGATCACGTTCAGAATGTGTCATTCCAACTTGCGGCCGAGGGGTAAAAGAATGATTCACCAATCGATTTTAAGTTTGACGCTAATACAACAGGCGGGCTCGATTATATGTTGGAGGATCGCTTGCGCTTCAGACAGGCTCACAATCGTTGCCTTCTCAGCAAAAAGGGACGATCAAGGACATTGTCACTTGTTCTACAAACATGGAAACGTATTCATGGATTTATAACAGCTCAGAAGGTAGACGTTATCTGACGTCAAATGCATGCCCTTCAGTCAGTCAGATCGATGGAGTTGTTCTAGGATATTTCATCAATGCACAAATGCCCTTATATCCAAAGATATCTTTGCATCCGTTTAGTTACGGTTGGCTTTCAAGTGAAACCAGGGGAATACTAGGATTTGCTATTGATGGAGTTCCCTTCGTGCGGTTGGATTATTTTCAACAAGTCAGAACCGTATTCGCAATAGATTCTTGCAATGGTATAGTTTCCGATTCTCAATCCTATTTCTATGTCGGCTACCCTCGATGTATACAGGACCTTTCTTCAAACTCCGGTCACTCTCCTCTTGTCGGTTTTTTACTCGATGGTTTGCCTGCCTACGGACCGAATGATGTTGACGGAGTTGTCGCTTCGTCGTTGCAAGGACCGTACAAACTAGATGAATGTGGAGGACACATGGATTCTATCCATCGATTCTATCACTATCACATTGATAGTACCTCGCAAATCAATTGCCTAAGAGGTTGTCTTGACGAATCTCGGATCTCAAGCTCATACGTAATATTTGATCGGGAGATTCCATGTCTTGAGGAAAACTTCTTCAATGACTTCTCATCTCTTGCTTCGTTCCAAACATCAAAGAATTTCAACACCGATGGTTTGCAACCTGTAGTCGGACAGGTGGGCATGCGAGCAGGTCAGTTTCATACTTTCGCATTTGAATTCGAGCCGTCGCGATGGTCTACTTCTCTCAGCCTCAGCTGGAGTCCATTCCCAGGAATCACCTTCCCTGTAACCCTCGCGTATAACAAGAACGCTCTCCAGGACTGCGACTACTCCATGCCATGTAAAGCAATCATGATGGAGATTCAGCCACGACAGATTTATGAAACTTCAAGTACAGTGTCTGGAATTGACACTGTGCAGGGTATAGCGGGCTTGAACCAATTCGATTTTTCTTCTTCGACTCTGAATTTTACCGATAATGGCTTCGTTGAAGGCTATCCGAAGTATTTCTCTCGTGCAGGGTACATGAGCATCCAGCTACAAGCATATGATGTCTATGGGAATTCAATAGTTGATGGAAGTCAAGCTGTAAGTCTTTCAACCCTCTCAGTCCTTGACACTGGAGTCATTCAGAAAATTCAAGGAGACCTGGTGTACTTAGAAAATAACATCTCCCAATTTCAGAAGCCATCTGACGTAAGATTGGACATCTACATCAGATCTTGGCGTTCTCAAAACTTTTCTTCCTTTAAAATCATGTCTTTTGATGCTTCTAATTTCTCTGCAATACTATATCCAAGTATTAACGGTAGTACGCTTTCGGAGTCAAACTATCTCTTTTACGTCGTTGGTATCCTCTATCAATCAAATCAGACCGTCAGCGCTTGGAATTCAGTATTTTCGTGGGACATCTACGTCCCGACTGCTGGTTTATATGTCCTCTCAGTCAAATCTCATCGATCTTTAGAGTTTAACGGAAGTCCTTTCCTGGCAGCAGTCATGTCTTCAAATTTCAATTCCAGTACTTCTCAAGTTTTGTCGAGATACTTTTGGAGAGTGGAGCAGTTAATTTACTTTCGTGTTGTCGCGAAAGATCGATATGGCAACAACTTGTCGCTGTCAATTCTGACCAATGAAAATGGTCTCGATAACTCCACCATGAATCAGTTGAGTGCTCTCCTGTATTTGCAGACCAAGCTTGATACAATCTCTCGAAATTTCATTTTGTCGTCAGGCAATGCTTCGTTTTTCAGTTTAAGTTCAAATGAAATCTCAAATCCTTCACATTACGTTGGTTATCAAATCACAGTAAATGGTGAATCAAGAAATATCACTTTTCAGAGTGACTCTCCTTTCTCGAATGAATATCCAGGAGTGGTCGTAACTGTGGATGTGCCATTCACAGTGTTGCCTCAAGCTGGAGATGTCTACATCATCTCCAAAGCAGTTTTTGTTGGAAAGGATCCAAAAGCTGGTTGTGAGGTTTTTGACAGATACGTCAATGTGTTCCACGGATATTGTCACCGAGTAGAAACGCTTGGGACATACATTCTTGAAGTCAAATATCAGAATTCCACTGTTGGGAGACCTATCACACTTTACGTCGGTGCTGGCGTGCCATGCGCAAGCACATCAGTGGCGGCAGGGGCTGGGCTCTCTCTGGCCACCGTTGGGTATCCTGCATACTTCATGTTGAGATCGAAGGATAGATTTCTGAATGATGTGCTTCTTGATGGCCTTGACTATGTGATCCAAGCTGACAGGGCTGGGGCTTTTGAAAATCTAACGCAGTACACCACTCCTACCAGCGTCAACGGGATGCTGAGCACAAATTTTACTCCCTGGATTACTGGTACGTATCAAATGAAGATTGTTTTTGGGCAATATCTTGTCGCATCATCTCCATACATCGTCAGAGTGCGTTCTGGAAGATTCTGCGCAGCAGCATCCACGTTTTACGGTCCTGGACTCACGCTTGCCTCAGTTGGCATCCAATCTCGTTTCGTGGTGGTTGCAGCAGATTCGTTTTACAACTTTGTCGATTCCTTAGCATCCATATCGCCATCCTGTGTCAGTGATGTATCAAATGAAGCTTGTTCTTTACAGATGTTGATTGGCAATCAAACGTTGCACTTCATGCCAACAGAACTACACCTGGATCAGTATAATGTATTCTATGAGACTTATGGTTGGAATGCACGTTATGAAGTAGATATCCCGATTTCAATTGGTGCAACCTCCACGACATTTCAACTGAACTTGAACCAAAGCAATTTCCAAAGTCAACTTCCGGGCATTTATGCAACTTATTACGCCGATGATAATTTTTCTCAACCTCTTTTGACAGCTCTAGAGTATACAATAGACCGGGTCAATTCTCAGAGTTCTGTCTGCACTTTTGGAAACTCATCTCAGTTCCCCTCGTCTATTGATTATCAGAAAAACTTCTCTGTCAGGTGGGATGGTATTGTGTATCAAGATCCAGCAACAACATACGTGTATGCATTTTCTCTTGGCCAACAAATTGATAGGCTACAGTTGTGGATCGATTCTAACCTGGTCACTGATCAGTGGTATTCCTTGGGCAGTCTTTATGTATCAAACTCTTTCTTCAACTCCAAGCCTTATCCTCTCCTGAGCTTCCGGTTGGATTTTCGGTCAAACAGTTCTTTGTTCGCAGGAATTTCCATGACACGGAGACTATCTCAAGACTCAATTCCTACCTTTGATTCATTTTTCTACCATACAACGACACAATTTCAATTAATTGTTGTAGGTCAAGCTACTGCATTTGCAGCTGCTACCACAGCATCTGGAAGCTCGTTGACCTTGTCCACAGCTGGAGTATCATCGCAGATTACCATCACTGCAAGAGATGACCTTTATCACGAGCTAATATTTGACTCCAACATCCAACAGATTGTGTTTTCTGCCAAGACAGGGGTGGATAGTGGAGGTCTATCGGCGACGTACTATTCGGATTCGAACTTGAAGTCTCCTGTTGTGACGAGACAACGACAGGTTGTTCAGCCACTTGCCGGTTATGCCAGTCTCACAAGACCGTTGAGCCAGCCGAGCCCAGCAAGCCCCAGCACAACATTGAATGTTGCTTACGACAACCTCTCTAACGAATGGATTCACGCTGGAGACTTCGCTGTCATAGCCAATGAAGTAATTGAAATTCTCTCGATTTCATCCTCAACGTTGGTTGTGAATAGAAATCTCACAGGAAATGCACAGGCGCACCCTGTTGGAACGCCTTTCAACACATTCCCTTCTATCAGTCTCGTCCATGTATCGCAGTATAGTGTCAGGTGGGACGGCTTTCTCAAATCACAAAATAGCGAAGTGTACACAATATTCTTCACAGGTGTGGGTATCAGCGAGCGTGTGAAATGTTGGATAGATGATTATCTTCTAATCGATGCATGGAGTTCACTGTCAGGAACAAATCTGAATGGAACAATATTTTTTAGCAGAGCATACGACTACTATCAGATTAAGATTGAATATTCCAACAATTTTTCTCCAGGAGGTTTTACTTTGAAATGGAGCACATCTACCATTGGAATTGAAAGCATACCCAGTGAAAACTTCTTTCAAAGTTTACACTGGCTGGATAGTCAATATCCACCTGCACACAATCAGTATCTTGTCCCTAGTTATAACACTACAGTGAGTGGTTCTTATCAGACTTCTATTGCATCCTTCATCACCGGTGGGCTATATGCAACATATTACTCGGATGTCGATTGCACTTCCACTGCTCTACATCGTGTTGACCCCGCGATCGATTTTGATTGGGGCTTCTACAACGCTCTACCTAGCCTGCCTCAAGACGACTTCTGCGTGCGATGGCTCGGTATGATTTCACCTTCGTCTTCTGGGACGTACACCTTCGAAGTGAAAGCCTTGAATGAGTTGAAGCTTTGGATTGATGAAGGGCTGGTGTTAGACTTGTACGAGTCGAGTTCGAGAACAAGAAGAAGTTTTCCGTTGTACTTACAGAGTAATATCTTGTACCATATCAGAATCGAGTACAAAGCATATGTTGGTCTTGCAGCAGTACAACTTTCATGGAGATCTGAGGTCATTCAAAGTTTCAGTCTGCAATCTATTTCATATCAGACGTGCAATGTCAACACTCAAACGATCTGCTTTAACGTTGACGGTCCTATTGGTGGCCTGGGATACTTAGCAGGAAGGTTAATGATAAGGATGAACGGAGAGATCACTCAGATCGGAACATTCAATGTCGACATTTATGGCGCTGTGAATCAGATTCACAGTAATCTCACTGGGTTCACCTTTCCGAATAAATCGATATCTTTTGAGGACATCCTGATCTTTTATCAAGATGTAAACCAAACACAGGAAACAAGCATCACAGGAATGCAAATAATCAATGGTGGGTCTGGCTTGATACCTGGAAGATTTTTCATTTTCGGCACAAAATCTGTTGCACACGGCTACTTCATCACGAACTCAAGTGGCTCTCTAGATGCATTTGTTTTCAAGGATCACGGAACTGGATTTTACGACTTCAACCTGAATCAAAGTTCGATTAATTTGTACTTCATGGATGAAAATGTATCAATGCCTGGTTCTGTCACCAAGATTCAAGTTTCAGGATCAGCGAATGTTTCGTATTCAAACAATGGTTCTCTGGTTGTCAATTGCACGTACCCTTGTAATGGGACAGGGCTCAGTGGCAATTGCTTTGCGTCAGGTGGGAATGTGTACTTTGTGCAAATATTGACACATGGCACTGGTTATTCGCCGACAAGTTTGCCGAGACTAGAGTGTCCGGGAGGGAATGGACAAACCTTCGAGGCGATTGTTGCAGCACAGCCATCCATTCTCCCTATCGTCGCTCGAGGAGCAAGGTTGTTTCCTGTCTTTCGAGGAAACGCTGCAGCGCTTGTTGAAAGGGAGAATCTTTTCTTCAAGACTGCCTCGATCTCTGGTTGGGATGGCGCCAACGTCGACGCTCTGAGGATTCGAGCAAACATTATATGTGGAAGCACTTCAACTCTGACATACTCTGGTATTGGCTGGCAGCCAAAAGTAACAAGAACAGGTTTCCCTACCTCATTCACCATTGTTGCAAGAGATGAATACGGAAATGTCTTTGATGGCAATCAATCAAGTAACTCTTTCTTCGTTGCTTATTACTATTGGGACAACTCAACGATATTTTCCAAGTGGCAAGGAATCGGAATATTGCCTTCCAGCACTTCAGGCGAGTACACTTTTGCCATTTCCGCTTCCAACCAAACTCGGGCGGGAAATTTTCTTCTAGAAACTTACTATGCAATCTCTGGAGGCTTATGGGCAACCTATTACATGGGAGGTGACTTTTCTTTAGATTGGAAAAATGTGGCATTGCTTCCTGTAGTGAGCAGGGTCGATTCTTTCATTGACTTCTCTACATCGTATGGAACTTGGCCTTCGAGTCCTACTTGCATTGCTCAGTTCTATCCGATGACTGTGAGGTGGTCTGGATTTTTTAATCCCACACTCATGCAATGCAACTCTAGCTTCCTCAGTGTAAGCCTCGTTGCAAATAGCGAACGCATCAGATTGTGGTTGGATAACCAAATCATTGTAGACCAATGGACAAGCCTGCAGTCGTTGAATACTAACATCTCTTGCTACGAGTCATCGTATTCGTACGTAAAGATTGATCTTGACTATAAAGCACGTTATGCTGAGAGAGGAATCAGCGTCCGAAGAATAGTCAATGGTTCTGCTTCGATCGTGGGGGGCTCAGAATTTTACAGCGCGTACCTCCTTCAGGGTGGTAACATATCAAGACGATTTTTGACTGACGCCGTCTGTGCAACTGCCACTTTCGTGTACGGGAGCGGAATATCCGTGGCAACGTCATATAGCCCCTCTCAGTTCTTCATCATTGCAAGAGACCAGTATCACAACCCGGCGGCTGACAATGTTTCATTCTTCGTCCAGGTACCCGGGGCTCAAAACGTCTTTTCTCGACCCTCGTCTCCTGGAATCTTTAGTGTGGAGTACCTTCCGACGCTGCCTGGACTTCAGACTGTAAGAATTTCCCTTCCTCTACAAGGAGGCTTGTTCGCCACATACTACTCTGACTCACTTTTCTCGATATCTTTGTACAATCGTGTCGATACAATGAGCTATGATGAGTACTTCTCCACCAATTTCTTTTCAGCTCCCAACTATCTAGGTGCTTTGAATACAACCTTTGCTCGCTGGGGAGGACTTCTTACCCCTTGGAAGTCCAGCACATTTAATTTGTACGTTCCTCTTGTTAAGAGCGACGAGCGGGTGCGGCTTTGGGTGGATGACCGCCTGATCATAGATCAATGGACCTCACTATCTAGTGTGCAACCATTGGGAACTTTGTTCCTTGACAGCGCATTGTTCTATGATGTTACCCTTGAGTACAAGGGCATCCCGGGCATGAATGGAATTGGATTGTTCTGGTCGATCTTTGAAGACAAGACAACAGCTGTGAACGTTTCCGGTTGTCTTTCAGGTTGTTCCTCTTCAACTTCATCAGTCAGCTTGCACGGCGAATGGTTCGAATCAACGATTGTCGTCAATGGAACTTCGTCTACTTTTTTATATGATGGAAATAGGAGCAAGGGAAGGTCATCAGTAACGTTCTCCTTTCCCCTTGCATTTGGGTTGTACTCGATTTATGTAAAATATCCAGTCGGTTCCGAGTTTGACGCAAAGGTTCCTGTCCAGGTTCTTTTCAGTGGGAAACGCTCACAATATCTGATCAACGAGACTGCAGGGAGTGGACTGTCGTTCCTTGGAACATTTTCATTTGACTCTAGGGGTGCTCAAGTGATTGTTTCCAACGATTACACCTTGAGCACAGTAGCAGTGGAGGAAGTGAGAATTTCAAAACTGGCTGATGCTTCTCAATATCTGATTGCATCTGGGGAAGTAACTTCAGCATTATCTCCAAGACAGTTCATCATGAATTTACAAGTTGAGAAGACATCTTTGGTAGGTCAGGATCTTTTCATCAAGAACGAGAGTAGGCGAATTCTAGACTATGATGTCAAGCAAAATATCGTAACGATTGATCAGTCGTTTTCTATCGGCTTGACCTCACTTATTGGCGAAATCTCGGAATCTGATACACAGCTCCTTGTACAAAATGTGTCAGAAGCTGGAATCCTTGAGTATCAATTCATAGAGATAGACTTCGAAATCTTCTCAGTCACCTCAGTGGATTCCAGCAGAAATGAGTTGACGGTCATGCGAGCTCAATTCAACACAAGGAGGCAGATTCACCTGAATGGTAGTGTGGTTAGGAATGTTCTGTTTCCAGGAAGCATTGCAAATTCTGGTGAGATCTCAGGGGTGTTGTCCTGTACCAATCTCAAGTTGTCTCACACAGCTTCCGCCCTTTCTGGATCATATTCTGATTTCATTCTTGTCGTCGATACAACGTCGCGCGACAACGCAAGGGGTATCTTGGAATATTCTTCTCAGAGAGAAGTTTTGCTTGATGTTCCATATGTTGCTACCATCGAACCATCGTCTCGGTATATCGTCAAGTCCAGGGCTCTGTTTTGGATTGGTGGCTCCTTGGTCATGAATGGGAAGGTCTCATGCTCCCAATGCGTTGTGTCCAAGGAATTTCTCTACACAAACCCTTCGATCTCGAAAAATGTGACGGTGCATGTTGGACAGCAGCGAAATTTGTATCTCTCTGGAGCTCACTTGTCCATATCGACTGCAGGCACCCAGGGAACCTTTCAAGTTTTGGTGCAAGATCTGTTTGGCGGGAACATTCAAAATGACATTGATAAGGTGTTGTATGCAAATGCCACCCTCATCACAGATACGTACGGATATGGATCAAGCTCAGTGGTTGATGGCTTCTTGAATCAAGTTTTCGATTCATTTCAGTTGAGATTAGATGAATCTGCTCTGCCGCAAAATGGTATCTATGTTGGATATAACATCACCGTCGGAAAAGAAACAAGGAAAATTCGAGAGTACACTTCAGATAGGAATGTTACTGTAGATGTTCCTTTCAACTTGCTCAACTTCCTTTCACCAAGACAGCGATTCATAATCTCTGCTACTAACTTTCAATCGACCAGGACATGGTTTGCAGGGACTTACTGTGATATGAGCAACAGTACTAATCCATGTAATATCTCATATGTAACAACAACAGCTGGTGTATACCTTGTACAGGTACAATACTTTCAACGCGGGGGTTTGAACGGTTTATACTTTTTGAATCAACACCTTCAGGGGAAACCATCCATGTCAAGGGTAGATGCCTCCGAATCCTTGTACGTTGGCTTTGCCTCGCTCGAGCACCTGGCGCCAGGTGCTCTCGCCATTCGATGGACGGGGCTGATTCGGCCTAGCTACTCGGAGACCTACACCTTCATCACCAACTCGTCGGTATCTGGACCCAACGTCTTCATCGGAGGGGTGCGGGTGATCCACGGGTTTGCGACCTCTAGCTTCAAGTGGCGCAGCACAGCTGATGTCGAAGATGACCTGGTTCAAGTCTCCTTCGCAGGCACCGTAGAGCTGCAGGCCATGACCTTGTACGAAGTCATGATAGAGTACTGGAACTTCAACCTTGCCACCGTCTTCGAGATGTGGTGGAAAAGCCCCTCTCAGAGTCTTGAGATCATTCCATCTTCCAGTCTGTATTATGCCTATGAGCAGGCTCAAAGTAGTCCGTTCGCTCTAAGAGTATTCCCAGCTGATTTCTGCTTCAACAATTTGTCGGAGTCTGACCCGACGCTGAGATGTTCGATCTACGGCAGTGTCGGGAGCATGTATGGTGCTGGAATCTCGCTTGGTACCGCTGGCGTGCTCAACACCTTCAGCTTGCAGCTGAGAGACATCTATGGCAACGTCGCGCTGAGAGACAGTTCGTCCATCGTCGCTCTCGTCAACTCTAACTGGAGGTGTGAGAGCTCAGACGACCTCTACAAGTATGCTGGGCTGTGCGAGCCTCGCCGTGCTGTAGTGGCTTCGGCGAGCGTCTCAGGGGGGCTGTACCGTTATTCGTATCTTTCTTTGACAGGCTCCTTCTCTTCTGAAGTCCTCGCGGGTGCTCGTGTTCCCGGTGGACTGTTTGCAACCTACTACACCCTGGCACCTTGTAGCGATGTGACAACAGAGCTCAGTATGACATACTCTGGCATAGCAGAGATTGTAGTTGTCAGTATAGGATCATCATGCCTGTCTGGCGGCAGCCTATCAGCATACGGAGGCGGAGGGTTTGCGTTTCTTGGCACCTTCACAGTGAGACAAGGGTCTGTTGACACCACTCGCGTTCTCAATGCAGGACTTTCCTACTGGTCCGAACCCTTGATCACCTGCTGCCAGATGATCTATGCCGTGAGCATCAGCGGGAGCGGCAGGGGGTACATGAACGGGAGCTCTGCTCTTGCTTCATGTGACGGCGTCACCGGGTGCTCAGGGACTGGGTTTGTTGGAGAGTGTATCGTGAACAACGGGAGTGTGGTGAGCATCAATATTCTCAGCTATGGATCTGGTTACAATGCTTCCGCCTTGCCGATGATTGTCTGTCCGAATGGAACAGGCCAGGTGTTGACACCGATGGTAGACATGTCTGAAGGAGGCGGCGGTTGTCAAGGAGTAGCTTTCAAAGCCATCTTGCAGACCACGACCCAAAGACCCAACAGCTGGTGGTCGTCGGATGTGAGCTCAAGTGGAGCCAGGTTCACCTTCTGTGAGAACTTGACGGCACAGAACGTGCGATTGGACTCCAGCATCGACTTCAGTGGCTCAAACTCCGCAGGCGTTGACAAGATCACGTCTTGGCCTGGCACACCCACTTTGTCGTTCACGGGGAATTCCTTCCATGTGCGATGGTTCGGATTCTTGTCGATTCCTCAGCAGGGAGATTACACGTTTGAAGCAAGCGTCAACACCTCAGATGAGAGAGTCAGGTTGTGGGTAGACAATCTAGTCGTGGTCAATCAGTGGACAAGCCTGGAGTCGCTCAATGTTGTTGGAACTTTCTACGCAAGTGCTGCAGGTTTTGTTGAGATCATGATACATTACAAGGAAGAACTGGCTGGCCAAAAGATGGTTCTGACGTGGGCAGGACCGGGATTCTCACAACAAGTGATCTCCAACAATTCTCTAGCCTACCTCGCGCAAGTTGAAGGAAGTCCAACCACCATGTACATGTTGCCGAATGCTCCTTGCGCTTCCACTTCCTCGGCGTCAGGTTACGGTCTAACTCTAGCGACTGCAGGACTTGTGATGACTTTTGTCGTTACCACTAGAGATGAGTATAAGAACCTCCATCACTATCTAGACGACAACCTGCTCGGGTTCACCTTCACCTCCTACATCGATGCTGGAAGTCAGCCATACCTCTATGTCTTGCCCAACAGCTCTGCAGGCCTCGTCGCGTACGAATACAATATCACGACATCCGGCGTCCATACGTTGCACTCGTTTCTTGCGCTGTCAGGAGGGTTGAGAGCGACTTACTATAGCGACTCGAATCTTGCTGTGCCGTATCAGACCAGACGAGACAGTCTGATCGACTTTTCTAGCCTGACTCGCTCCAACGCTACCTGGCCGTTCCTCACCGAGTCACAGTTCTCAGCTCGATGGCATGGGTTCATCCGAGCCCAGTACAAAGAGCAATACACCTTCTACGTGCAACTTGCGGAGGCGGGGGAGAGAGTCGATGTTTCAGAGAGAGTGAGGTTGTGGATAAACAACCAACTGATCATTGACCAGTGGAGCTCTCTCGCTCTAGATTCAGCTGTTGGAATCTTCGATTTCACGATGTCTGATGTGCTCTACGACATAGTCTTGGAGTACAAAAGCTACAACGCTTCTACTTTCCTCCAGCTCCTATGGACTTCTGATGGACAGAATATCCCGGCTGTGTGCAGTTTCTCACCTCCATCTCCGTTTCCTCCCAAGTATTATCAGCCAGCTCTCTGCAGCTGGTCCCTGCAGTCCACGTGCAACGACAAGGAGATCTGCTTCGCATCCAGCACGGCCATTAACGGCTTGTCAGCTGCAGGATTCGGTACCAGCGTAGCATGGATAGGAGACGTCAATGAGGATGGGGTGGAGGACGTTGCGGTCGGGGCTCCATACCAAGAGAGCAACGGCTTGATGGTTGGAGCTGTCTACATCATGCTCATGAGCCTCGACGGCAGCCTTGCAGCTCAACCCTATGCACCGTCAACTGTGATAATCACTCAGGGAGCCAACCTTGGTCTCTGCCTGTCCTGCCTCAAGGCTGGCGATCGATTTGGAAACTGTATTGCTGCTGTTCGTGACATAGACAGGAACGGGCTCAACGACATCGCTGTTGGATCACGGAATGCTATCTTCATCGTTCTTCTGAAAAAGGATTCCTCATATGTCTGTCAGGCATGCAACCCTGCTGTCGCCGACTACGTTGCTCTCAACATCTCCTCGTCTCTGAGTCAAGATGTAGTACCTGACTCGCTGGCTATGATGGGAGACCTTGACGGTAACGGGATCGCTGATCTGGTCTATGGTGTTGGCGCTGGCGACCCCTCCTCCCCCGGCAACGGCTACATTCAGATTGTGATGCTCTCGAGGAGTTGCGCTGGCGGACAAGCCATCTGCGTGCTGTCCTTGGCTAAGAGGATCTCCTACGTTGAGACTGTCGGAGCCAGCGCAAGCGCTTCAGCACTTTTCGGCTCCTCCTTGTCGCCTATTGGAGACTTGAACGGTGACCATGTGCCTGACATCGCTGTCGGGGCGAGCAACGAGGCATGCCAGCCGGGCTGTGCCGGAGCTGTGTACCTGCTGTTTCTTGACCGACAAGGTTGGACTGTCAGGCAATGGACCAAGATTTGTCGGAACTCGTCGGGTCTGCCAGCTGAGGACGCCGCCAGCTGCAGCAGCTCCTTCGGATGGTCAGTCGCTTCTGCCGGCGACCTCAATCATGACGGGAGGCCCGACCTCATAGTTGGCAGCAACGCTTCTGCATCCACCCAGCCAGCCAACGCTAGCATGATCTACTGGCTGCTCCTGACCAAGAGCGGTACAGTACTAGAGTCGTTGGTGGTGAAGGGAGACCGGTTTCAGCCCGAGACCTCGGTCAATGGAGTCTCTCTTTCCACAGCCTTTGACCTGAATCGAGATGGCATGCCAGACTTTGTCAGCGGAAATGCGAACCAGAATCAGAGCATCGACTCGTTCAGCGTGTTGTTCTCTCAGAGCCTCAAGAACTGGGCATTCAACAACTCCAACACCTCAGTCAACGACTCCTTCCCCTCTGCAAGTCTCTTTGGCTCCTACTTTCTTTACAGCAATGGCACAATCTGCCAAGATGGATCACTATATGCCAACCACGAGGGCAACGCTCTCACTGGGTTATACAGCTACATCTTTGACGGGGTCGACTCCAACTGCAGGAGACGCTGTGATGAAGACAGGTTCTGCAACTTTTACACAGTTGGAGCCACCAACAGCTGTAAAACGTACCTGAGCTGTTGGAAGCAGGTGGTATCTTCAGACTCATCTACTCAGACCTTTCAAAAGAACTCCTTCTTAGCGTCTGACAACTCGCTATTGCAAGGACGATATTCCAACGCGGTTCTAACCTTCAGCAGTATTCAGGCGCCATACGCGTTATTCAGCTTCTACTACTACCTTTACAGTGACTCTTCTGCCTCGATCGACGTCAGGGTTCGTTCTGTTTCAACCGTACAGACAACCGGCTCACTGACGTCTGTTGTCAACAACTCCTACTTCAGCTTGGATTCAAACTCTCCTCCATACAACGACTGGTGGACTGGCATGTTCGTTGTGATTGGAGGAGAGACAAGGAGGATCCGGAGGTATTACCACAACAGGTATGTGTTGACGGAGGTCAGCTTCTCCTTTGACCTCGCGGTCGGTTCACCTTTTCAAATATTCAAGAGCAGCTCCATCTGTTTCTCGCAATCTTGCTCGAGCAGTTTTGATTGGTCGACCGTATGGTCGAGTGAGGCTGCGCGGTCCCTTCCTGTGACATGGCAGTTTGTCAGCTTGAACCTTGAAGCTCACATTCAACCGGTCGAAATACAAGTTCAAGTTAGCTTCTCCACATCAAACTCCTTCAGAGTTGGGCTGGATGGGCTTCAGACGACCTTGTTCAACAACCCCTATCGCTCATCCATCAATCGACCGCGGCTAGTCAAGAAACAGTTGGTGCCGTCTGCGAGGTTGTACGTTCCCTTTGAAACCGTCTCATCTCCCTTCACCTTGAATGTTCGACCCTCCTCAACTTCTCCCCAGACAAGTGTCTGTCAGGGGTGCAGCGTGACCTACCTGTCTGCTAGCTCCCTCCACAAGTTCTACATCACCTTGAAGGACTCCTTCGGCAATGTCCGTTCTGCTGTGAACGCCTCTGAGAACGGCACCTTCTTCTCCCGTCCAGCCCCCATGTTTGCCCTCCATCATGAAGACGGGCTGGTGATCTTCCTTGAATCTCTTCTCAATCTCAATGAGGTCAAACGAAGCTCCGTCATCTTCACGTCCGGGGCTGAGTACACGGCACAGATACAGCCTTCTGAGCTCAACGAGACCAACAACGGGTACACGTTCCAAAGCTCCGAGTTTCGATTGTACTTTGCCAGAGTCGGGGGGCTGAGGGGAGACTACTTCAAGAGAGAAGAGCTTATATCTCCTGTCTTCACCAGGATCGATGAAACCATAGATTTCTCCTTCACCACCTCCTTCCCTGGATCTCCACAGTTCATGCCCATTGACTTCTTCAGCGCCCGGTGGAAGGGCTGGGTGAGGCCCCCGTTCTCAGAGACCTTCACATTCAAGACTGAGACGCTGGCGTCCAAGAGCGTGGGAGGCATGGAGGGGGTGCGACTGTGGCTGTCGGGCGAGCACATTGGTATTCTCAACCTCATCATTGACAGGTGGGGAGGACGTGAACCTGAGTACACGGGAACGCTCAGCCTGCAGACAGACGTGCTCTACGACATCGTGTTGGAGTACAGAGACACGTACTCGAGCTCTAAAATCAGGATCCTGTGGAAATCTGCTTCCATGGGAGACACGTTCAACGTGATTCCATCCGACCGGCTGTACTACACGATAGGAACCAACTCCACTGACGCGGCTTCCATCACTGTTGGGCCTTGAGCGAAGGGGCTGTGAGATGTGGTGAATGGAAAAGAAAGGTTGCTATGTAATTTAGAATTTATCCGTGTCAAAGTTTCATGAAGCGTCCAAACTGTGAGATATGAGATATAATATCCTTTATTTGAAAGAATGGTAATGAACACACAAGTACACAATAAACAACAGCTGACTAAAGCTTTAGATCCTTGATTTCAAAGATATCTGAGCATCATAGAAAAACATGGAAATAGCAACAAGGGCAAGGATGCCAGAAGCAGCAAACATCGAGTATGAAATGAGGAGGAGCAAGTCCTCAAACTCCACCTTCATCCATCGCACTCTTGCGATCTTATGGCTCAATGAACGGATGTATAGCCTTGCCTTTCTGCTTACACTGAGCCCCTTGTGGTTCTTCTTATTGCTCACCAATGAAGTGCCACTTCCGAGCTGTACGATAGGCTTGGTTTCTTGCCTGTAAGGACATGATCCTTCCATGACACGTAGAAGCTTAGGAGATCCCGATGGTTGTGGATTGCGACGGTAGTTCATAAAAGCTCCAACATTCCTTTTAGGTGCGGCATGTACGGTCTTGCCTGTATCTTTAGCAGCTGAAACATGCTTGTTCACATTGCCACGATCCACTTCTCTGATATGTCGCAGTTTTTCGACTCCTCTTCTGGGTAAATGATGATCCTTGATTGCTTCATAAACAATGGGGCGATCTAATCGCGCTTTTACTGGTGCGGCGGGATGGCGAAAGGTTGTCATTGGGGGCTAATTTGCGCTTTATGGGAATCGAATGAGGGTGAAGGGATATCAACCCAAGGACTGCGATGAGGGAGCAAACAATAGATCGTGTGGCAGAAGAAAGTGAGGGAGACACAGGGGAGGAGGAGGAGGAGGAGGAGGAGGAGGAGGAGGAGGAGGTGGTGGTGGTGGTGGTAGAGATGGACGAGGAGGAGTGGTGCCTGAGCACTCTGTAGGGTTGCCAAGCTTCTATGCACCGGGAGATACACAGAAGGGGTGGGTGATCTTATTGCAGGGTAGTCTCAACAGGCTCTTCGTAAATTTGGGTAGAGTTAGGGTAGTATGCCCACAAAAGCATGGGTAAAGGGGGGGTGGGTCATATGAAAGAGTCGTTATGTAAGGGTCGGGGTGCGAAAGTTGTATATGTAGTGAGGGAGTCAGGGTAGGAGGTGTGGCTGACCAGGGGAATCGATGACTCCCGTTTCCGGAGGGGTAGGGTATTCATGAGGACCCCTTCATGTCCCAGAGGCCTGATTGACGAAATAGGGATCATTGGGGGGTTATCAAAAAGATTCTCTTCAAGGGGAGGGGGTGGCTGTTATTCGGGGGCCAAAGGCTGTCAGCAATGAAACCCAAGAAAAGTGAAAGATTGTGTTTTCAGTCTTGGTGTGTAGTAATGCTGCCTCCTCGCAGCATCTCAGAGCCGAGCGTTGCGAAGCGTTGCATCCTGATGGCGTTTTGATGAGGGGTGTACCAAGAATTCCTTGGTCATGAGGGTGGGTAGTCGTTCTATTTTATGGCACAATAATGTAGTAAAGTCAGTTGTGCAACGTAAAGGCCGGTGGGTTTGGGCACTGTGATTGCTCGCCCTCGGGGTAGGGGTGGTAAGTCCCACAGCAAGCTGACGACTCGATGAGACTGCTGATGAGCTCACTTCCTAGGACTCGGGTCCTAGATGATATTTCACATAGGTAGTAGGTATCACAGCAGTTAATCTGGTCACCCGTCGATTCGGGAGAGATTCTCAGGGTAGGGTGATAAAATTCTTGTCGAGGTGTAGCGAAGGGGGGTAGGGTACTCTTTTTGGGAGGAGGCGGGAAAGCCGAAGGCTTTCACAGGGAAAAAAAAAAGATAACAGGGGAGCGGATCGGAGGTTGTCCGTGTGACCGTTACCGTTGGCGACGGTTATTTCTATCAAGAAGTCAACACCGTGTGCCGTGAGAGATATGAAAGTCACGCGTCTCTGAGTGTTCGGACTGCCGCCGGGCCCCGGGTGACTGAAGTTCCCGCCGGGCGGCCCGTATGCCGGGCAGGCGACTGTGACCTCACAGCGGGCCCCCGCCAGGCATCTTGCTGCCAGCATTGGGATCCAACCAGTGCGCCATGTGGGCAACGGGAGGACGAGGACTGATGGAGGTGCTGCCCTATCGCCTTCGCTTCTTCAGCTCGTCAGCCCCTCGTGGTCTCATGAGACAAACCATGACATGCAGACCCTCCCAACTAGCTTCCTTGCGCCTGCCAGAAGCCCCTCCGGGAACAAGTTTGTCTTGGGGAAGGGATTTGTGGAATTCCTTTGGGCACAATGGCCAGTTCATACAGATTTTTAAGATGCCATTGACAAGAAGCATACATTTCAATGTGAATGAATGGGTACATCAGAAGTTTTGTATCTCACGATCGCCGACGGATTCTGCGGCAAAAAGCATACCCACTCATAACCCTGCACGTGCTACTTCTGCAGGCCGCGGACCTGCCATTCAACTTTCTTGTTCTCTCCCTCAAAATGTTCTTGCTCGAAAGCACAAAATTCAAAGAAGAGATCAGAGAAATTACAATGGCTGGAACAGTTTTCGAGGTAACTCATTCTGGGAAGAAAACATGTTGTATGCTATCATCGGAGCAAACTGTGTTGTTTTCGTCCTGTGGCAGAATAGGAATCTGCAGTATATGATGTGGAATCATTTCACAGTCTCAACATCGGGAGTACTTCAAGACTTCAAGTTGCACACATTGTTTACTGCCATCTTCTCTCATCCTCACTTCTGGCACCTTGTAGCCAACATGGTAACCCTTTGGTTCTTCGGAGCAGAATGCTTGACGTTCTTGGGCGCGCAGCGCTTTCTGCAGCTCTACGTGAGTTCTTCTCCTGCTCATTCTGCCTTGCTAACAAGTGACCTTGCTGTATCAAAAGCTTGCAGGAGGACTCACTTCCAGCATCTGTCATGTCCTGTGGCCAACAGTCGCTCCCAAGACCCACAGAGCAGCCGAACGGAGGCCACAATTCTCGGCGACAGGAGCAGTGAACGCGGTGCGTCAACACCTCGTCGCATCATTCTCTTACAGCCCTGCAGATGGTCGCCTACAGCATCCTCACGCTGCCGCAGCGAACCGTCCTCCTCTACTTCGTCATCCCCATCCCCGCCTCGGTGAAGCATGCAGGCCTCTTGTTGGGCTTGAAGTGTGATATGTGCTGTCCTCAGTTGTTGGGGGCTCTCTTCATTGGCAAGGACGCATGGGCGGTGATGACAGGGGACACTTCCTATGGAAACGCTGGCAGGTACAAGTAGCAAGAGGCCTCGTGTGCTAACGATGCTTCGGAGGCATGCCGCTGACGATTCGCTGCGTTTTCAGTCTGGGCGGATCTCTCGCAGGCATCTACTTCTGGTACATGGCACGAGGCTTTGGGGGGCGACGCTTCTGGTGATGATTGGGCGAGAGCCTCGGAGTGAGCAGGCAGTGTCCGGGTCACGGCATCGTTACTGACACGACTGAGTCGGATTATTGGGACCCTCATCGACTCCGGCCCAGCCCAGCGTTGCGACTTGAATGAGCTGGGGCAGAGCATGTTGCCATAACTTCCTCGTCCGACTCAAACTGCTCAGTGCTGCTTGCACTGGCAGTGGCGTGGGCGGCGCCGGGCCCGGCACAGCCAGCCACGGTCGGCCTCAACGGTTGACGGCGAAGGATCGTGCCAGTAGCTGCCGCCTTCGCTCACTTCTTCGGACTGCACTGAATGGTCACGCACACCGCACTCCGGCACCTGCCAGCCGGCTGAATGGGCAACTAACTTATTGTAGTTTTGAGTCAAAAGAAACTTATTGAATGCGCATGATGGAACCCGCGATGACCGTTTGGTGTGTCAACCTCATAGAATATCCGACCCGCCTCAGAGCCGCCCCCTGGTTCGCAATGATGCGCGGGGCCGAGATCTGGTAAGCCGGGAGGAGCAGAGAGGAGGAAGAGGAAGTGGAGGGGAGGGGGGCAAGATGCGGAGCAAGGAGAGCCATGAAGCAAGGGAGAGGAGAGAGGAGGAGAAGGAAGGGAAGGGACAAAAGAAGGACTGAGGGAGGGCTGGAAGGATCGCAAGGGTACGTTGGGGGGAGGGTGGGTCGCGAGAGGTGGAGGATAGTGGGGCGATGACAAGGAAGGTCGACTCATCTTTGAATGACTTGCCCATTACAGCTCCGATGCCAGATTTCTCAAGGTGACTCACTTGTAAGAACGACGGGAAGGGATGACGACTGCAGCCGCTGTGAAGGCGCTCATGCTAGTGGCATCATGCGATGTTTCTAGCGCATTTGTCGCAGTGCTACATGCTTCACCACAGATAAAGGCTTCTGTAGCCTTGACCAGCGACTTCCATGCTCGGTCCATGAAGGATAGCCGCAGTTGGCTGGGACCGCCGCAGATGATGGGTAGTTACGTCCGCTGCAGACAGTCAGTAAGATCCCGAGAGCCGGACACAGAGGACAGTTACCTCCTGCAGTCTCAGCTGCGCGCAATCTTTCTATCTCAGTCTCTCTCGTTGTTTGCCGATAAGATGTGGGACTTTGCAATCCCTTTCTTCCTCCTCGCCTTGAATCGCGCGGACTCTACGTCCTTTGCTCTCATCTATGCCCTTGTGACAGGAGTCGCCAACATTGCCGGGTGTCCCATAGTTCGCTACTTCACGGAGAAGTACTCTCGCATGGAAACCATCACCTTCTGTCTGTGGCTTCAGATCTCTCTAGTAGTCTCCTCCCTGCTTCTGTTACGTCTAGCGTTCTTCCTGCAAACCTACTCGGTGCTGCTCTTCTACCTCATGGTCTCTCTGGTCACCGTCACCTGCTCGCTCGCCAGCCTTGCGAGCTTTGCCAGCAACTTTGCGGTGGAGAGAGACTGGCTCAAGTGCCTGACAGGGAGGAATGAAGAGAAGCTTCAGCAGTCAGACCTTATCTTGAGAAGAATCACTCTGGTCTGCCGTGTCCTCGCTCCCATCAGCGTTGGTTTCCTGCTTGCTTCCTTCTCAGCACAAGTGGCGGCAGCAGGTACTCCAACCTGCTCCCCTTCTCCTCTCCGCTCTTCATCCCCTCCTCCTCATCCTAATCAGAATGCAGGAATCGCATTCTGGACGCTTGTCAGCACGTGTATCGAGTACTCCCTTCTCCGGGACGTCTACCTGACCAGCCCCAACCTTTCTCTTCCAAGGACGAGACCATTCAGGTTCGGCACTACTGCTTGCTGCTTCCTGTGTGCTGTTCTCTGCTGCCTGTTGTCGTGCAGCAAGCATGATGCGTTTGGTAGGAGCCCTCAGGTGGAAGGGAGGAGGGGAGGAGAGATTCTTTCCCCCACCCAGACGCTGGTGCGAGTACGAGGACGCCAACGGTGGTGGCTGGCCTACAAGGCCTCATGGAGAGAGTATATGGACCTGGACGGTTGGACGCTCCTTGCCGCATGCGTCTTCTGACCATGACGAACGATGACAGGAGATGGGATCCTCTCTCCCTCCGAGCTCTCCCTTGCCGTCCGATCAGGTGGCGCTGCTTCCTTCTTCTGCTCGTCCTCCTCTTGTCCTCGTCCTCTTTTTCATCCTCTTCCTCTTCCTCGTCGTTTACCCTCCAAGTCTTCCATTCTCAGGCCCCCCCCCCCCCCCCCATTCTCGCATCTTTTCAGCTTTCCCGTGCTCCTTCCTCGCCTCCTCCGCCCTTCCTGCCCACCACCCTTGACACAAGGACAGGCATCGTGCGATGCTGGGACCTCTGGTTCGGCTGCGCTGTCGGTATCCTCCTCTTCACCTACATCAAACGCATCCTGGCGCTCTCCTACGTGTAAAGAAGCGGCAAGAGACATTCGAGTTAGTCAGAGGAGCGAAAGCGAAACGACGATGATGAAGACAAGGAGGAAAAGGAGGATAAGGTGCGGGAAGGATAGGGACGATGATGGTGAGAGGAGAGGAGAGGAGAGGAGAGGAGAGGAGAGGAGAGGAGAGGAGAGGAGAGGAACGCAAGGGCAGTGGGAGGGAGGGAGGGATGAAGGGAGGGAGGGATGAAGGGAGAGAAGGATGAAGGGAGGGAAGTGTCAGGGAAGCTCCTGGACAAGAGGCACACTCGAAGCTGTTTGAGGGTACAGGAGGCAAGGAGGACATGTTGACATCTCTATTGCACAAGTTAATCCTGAGATGCGAGAGAATCGTTTGAAGAAACACAACAGACGGTGAACTAGATCATCATCCTCCGTTGAGACAAGGGAGGATATGATAATGATGCGATTTCTGTTGTTGAAGATGGTCTGATAAAGAAAAGATGTAGCACGCAGCTTGCCACTGGCAACCGTTTCCTCCTCTTCCTTCATCCTGTAGAACATTCCAGGACGATGTCTTGCCATCGAGAACCAAGCACATCCTCCTGCCTTCAACTTGACCGCCCGCTCTCCTCCTGCTCGCTCACCTTCGATCTTCTCCCTCGCAGCATCGCTTGCGTGCTCGGCAGTTCGATGTAGTGCTTGAGCTCGTTGAGAGCTGCCCAGCAGACCTTCCAGCTCAATTAGAAGGATCACAAGGGAGGAGGAGTGAGAGAATGAGGGCGAAGAGCAAGAAGGGAGTAGCGTCTTGTACAGCTCGGGACGTCGCTTGCTTAATGACGCCAGGGAGAGGGAATCCTGGTTCGACGCGGAGTTTGTAGACTACCTTCGTTTCTTGCCTGCTTGTAGAAGGAGCGAAAATGTGGGAAGGTGCAAGGGAGTGAGTGAGTGAGAGAGGGGAGGACGAACAGCTTGGTGGGAGGGACGTAGCAGATGACGCAGGGGGACTTGAAGGGCAGGGAAGAAGGGAGGGAGGAGAGGAAGGTGGAGAAGAAGGAGGACAGCAAGGAGGAGAGGAAGGAAGCTTTGGACTGACTTGCTCGTCTCGATGAAGTGATAAGAACCCTCAAGCTCCTTGATCGATCCAGCAACCGCGTGCCAGCACATCTTGGTGGGGCGCTGGATGCAAATGAGAAGTTATGATGATGATGATGATGATGATGAGGAGGAGGAGGAGGAGGAGGAGGCGGAGGAGGAGGAGGAGGCGGAGGAGGCAACCTGGTATTCGTACTCAAAAGTACTGCTCACTGTCCTCCCGAACCTGTCGAACCCATCACATGCAAGGACAGACAGCCTACGTCGCCCTCACATTCCCATGGTCATCACGACTCTTCTTCCAAGGTTGTTCACTGTGCGGCTCTCCACCTTCACCTGCCCCGCTGCTCCTCACTTCCTCCTTCCTCCACCTCCCTCACGCACCGACGATGTCGCCCTCGCCCACTTGGGATAGTCTTCAAAGGCAGTCGCGACTTGGAAGCACCTGGAAGGAGTTGAGGGAGGAGGTTGGGGGTCGGAGGGCGGCGCTCACTCCTCTGCCGTTGCCCGCACCATGATGGATCGCTCGACAGCATCCGACGCTGGTTCCTGCTGGATTCGAACAGAATTGAGCTCAAGTAGTCAGCCCAGCATCTCCAGTTTACCTCCTCCCCTCCCGCATCGGCATGCGATCCCTGCGGGTTTGAGAGACGCTGCGTGCTGAAATTCGAACGTTCTCAGGATCAGTTCGGTGAGTGCTAACGGATCTTATCGTCTCTCACATCTCAGCAAGTCCTTTCTTGACTGAAGTCTCTATCCAGTCGAAGTTGACTTGGCACAGACATGTTCGAGGTCTCACGGGTCTGTTTCGCACCTCCGCTGCATGCCCCACAAGCATCGAGTGAGCCGACGCAAGCATGCTGAGAGATCTGTTCGACGCGGTTACCATGAACAATCTCATCGACGAGCAGGTGAATGGTGCATGCGAGGTCAGGCAAAGAGCTGGAAGTTGGAGGGAGGAGGGGAAGAGCGGGGGAGGAGGGCGACAAGAGGCAAGGATGAGGGTGACGAAGAGGAGTGATGTCTGTCTGTCTGTCTGCCCGTCTTTCTGTCTGTCTGTCTGCCTGTCTTTCTGTCTGTCTTGTTCTTACATGATCGCATACGTCCGGATCTTCCAAGCTTGCCCCGCCATTTCCGACTCCTCCCCGATTGACCCTCATCCCCGCTCTTCTCAATCAAAGCACCGACAGATCAAAACAGCCCAGTGAATCAAATCCCGGCCCTCAGTGTCACTGCTGGCAGGGCCCGGCTTCCGAGTGAGCACCCGGCCCGGGGATCCAACGGTTGCCGTCATTGGAAGGTGCGACGCGGCCTTAGGACTTGCTGAGCCTCATGCCGATGAAGTCTTTACTCGCTGTCAACTACTTGAAGAGCTATCAAGTTGCTCTGTCTCTACCGTCAAGTCACGCGGAGGAACTACGCTCTGAGCATGTCGATCCTCCTCGCCAGGTTGATGTCTGCAGCTGTCACCTGCTCCTCCAGTCATTTCACCGTCTCCTGCTGCTCCCCCTCCCTTCACCGCCCCCCCGCCCCCGGCCCCACTCCTTGGCGCCTGCCCCTCTCCTCGTCGCTCCTGCCCAACTTCACCTTTAGGTTCGCGAAGGTTCCGAGCTCGACACGCACGTGGCATCCATCTTCAAGACCGTCAGCCACAGCAGACGCGCGGACCAGCGTCTCACCCTCTTGCTCGCACTTGCTGGCGGAGTTGAGGAGGAGACTAGGATGATGGTTGGCGCGCTCGGAGAGGACAGCCACGTCATCGAGGAAGGCTGTGGCGTCAAGGAACGTCTTGAACTTGAAAGTCCTATTGCAACGTGAGAAAGTGAAGAGGATATAAGTATGAGGACGCTGATAATAATGAAGATGATCAGGAGGAGGAGGAGGAGGAGGAGGAGGAGGAGGAGGAGGAGCACCTCTGCAAGACTTCTCTGTTGGTGGAGGAGCAGGTGCCTGAGCTCCAAAGAGGGACTGACTTCTTGACGTCCGCCATGCTCACAGGCGCGTACTTGCTGCTCTCAGTTGGCTCCTGCTTGTGCCTCTTCTCAAGGTCGCGCGTCCTTGCGCCTGCACGACAGTTAGCATGAGGGGAGGAGGGAGGCTGTTGAGGGGAGAGAACAGCAGGAGGGGCGAGGAAGCGAGGAAGGGTAAGAAAAGGCACGGAAAGGTAGATTGAGGATGAGGATTGAAAGGGCAAGGGGAATGGAAAAGAGATGGTAGTTGAGAAAGGATAAAGTAGAGGAGGAGGAGGAGGAGGAGGAGGAGGAGGAGGACAGTGGAGCAGGAAGAACAAGAAAGTGGAGGAGGAAGGAGGAAATTACGGGCTTCAGCGAGCGTGACGACGTTGAGCGTCAGAGCAGCCGCACAGGTCGGGCCAACACCATGGGGTGTCGGCGTGAGGACTCGAGCGACGTCCGCGACGTCTTCCTGCACGTCGGGGAGGAGGGAGGAGAGCGAGGAAGAGAAGGTTGTGCCAACGTTGATAACGATCGCACCCTTCTTGACCATGTCCTTGGAGATGAGATGAGGAGAACCGGCACACACGAATAGCGTGTCTGCTTGCAAGCAGAGGCTTCTCAGCTCCTCCTCTGACGTCCTGCTGTGACAGACCGCCACCGTCGCGTCTGCCTGCATCAGAGCAAGAGCAAGAGGAGCGCCAAGTTTGCGGGAGCGGCCGACCACGACCGAGAGGCCGCGGGTAACGGAGGGCATGGCGCCAGAGCGGAGCAGGAGCTGCATCACTCCCTCTACAGTGCAAGGGAGGACGAGAGCTGTTGGCAGCGTCCAAGGAACCCGCGGAGGATGGCCGACCACCTCGTCCTTGCCGCTGAGCGAGAGATCGAGGCCAAGGTCGAGAGGAGGCTGGTAGATCCCCTGAGAGCCCAGGACGACGCCATGCTTGTTGGAGCCAGGGAGAAACCCTTCGGCGTCCACGTCTTTGCTGGCAACGATGACACTTCCAAGCAGCTCGGCGTCCAGCTGGGGCGGCAGGGGACGCTCGAGGAGGATGGCGTCTACCCCGTCGTCCCTGTTGAGTGACATGAGCGCGTCATGCACGCGCCCGAAGCTCGAGGACGCCGGGAGCTCGACCCTCCTCGTGTCAATCCCAACGGACTCGCAGAGGGCAGCCTTGTCAAACCAGGACCTCTCCTTTTCCGCGAAGAGCTTCAGACGCGTCTGACCGTTGGGGTCCTTCTCCCCCACGTTCACGATGGCAAGGCAGGGCTTCCTTCCCGTCCTCGCTGCGATGGCAGCGGCGCGAGCGCCGGCCTCTTCCCGCATCATCGAGCTGACCCGCAGCCCGTCTTGGAGCAGAGACACGTCCACGCTCTGCTGCTCCTTCTCCTCTGGCCAGACCTTCTGGTCCAGCGACAGCTGGACAGGAACGAAGGAGGAGGCGTATCCTCGAGCAGCCATGGCGTTCGACGCCTCCTGCCACCGATGGGGGTCGATGAGTCCGACCTTCTCCTCTCGTCCCTGCTCCACCACGTAGCCCAGCACGCGCTTCAGAGTGTCCAGCTGGAACTGGAACGAGTCAACCTCAGTCCCAGTCAGGCATCCCAGCTCCTCCCGCGCCTCTAGGACAGCCTCCGTCGCCTGCTCGGGCTTCTGCTGGGCCATCCTCCAGCCTTCTCGAGAGGCTCCGAGGAACTCACGGAGCGCTTGTCGCGCTGGGTCCAGCTGGAGGGTCTTCCTGGAGCAGAAGAGAACCTGAGAGTACCCGAGGGGCAAAAAGGAACGGCCGTTGCTGTCCTTGACCATGTCCTCGAGACGGAGGACGTGTGGGGCCTCTCCCTTCAGGATCCTTTGCAGCTCCAGCAGCTCCATGCAGTCGTAGATCTGAATGGCGTCCACCTCCCCTGCCACCAGAGCCTCGACCTTCTTCTCCCTGCTCACCTCCAGGATCTCGACCTTCCTTGACAGCTGGCTGTCGGCATGAGACACGAGCGTGTGCATGAGCTCCATGCTGTCGACGTGCATCCCGATCCTCCTGCCCTCCATGTCCTTGAGATTCAGCTTCTTCAGGGAGGCGATGGCAAGAGGAGAAGAGTGAAAGACAGTCCCGAACGCCATCGCCTTCACCCCCCTGGCGATCGCCGGGATGAGCACGTTCTGCTCCACTGTTCCCACAGCAATCTCTGCTTCCTTGCCTGCCTCTCTTCCTTTGCTGTTGTACATGGCCTGCATCCGACACACAAGCTCCGGCTCTTCACCTCCTGCTCCTTCCAGGGAACGAGTCAGGAGGACGCGTCAAGAGAAGGAGGAGCTACCTGAAGGCTTGAGCACGTTGCAGAGCAGCCCTCTCTGCTCAAAGAGGCCGAGCTTCTTTGCAACATGGATTCCCGCAAACTGAGCGGATGGAAAATAATCCAAGAACAGGTTGATGCTAGTCAATGACTTGTGCATGTTGTATTGTGGTTTCTTTCAGTGAAATGAAAGTGTTTTGATTTCTAGCGCGCTGGTTTCTTCGACAGCGCAGGTACCTCAGAGCTTCGTCTTCTCTGTTCGATGAAAGAGAAGCTTTTCTTGCTAGCAACAAAGATTGTTGCGGTCGACGGAGTGTGTTTTGATTTTTAAAGCGCTGGTTTCTTCGACAGCGCTGCTTCGAAGCAAATCTGCAAGGAAAGACCATCTTTCGTAAGTATTGAGATAATTCCAAATCAAGCCTTAGGTACTCAACAAGTCAGCTAGTTATCTTGCAATCCCAAAAATCCTTTCCTTCTCTTCCCCGCCTTGGTTGTCAAACAATCCCGTCCTCCCAGGTATGTCCTCCATATCCCTTGGAGGACGTTGCTTCCAAACCTCTCACCTCTCCATCCTGATCCATCCTGATCCACCGTCTCCATCCTCTCCATCCTCCTGCTTCTATCCGTCGCCTCGCTCTCCCTTCCCTTCTCCTCCTCCCGTTCCTCATCTCTCGTGCACTCTGTGGCCTCATTGTGAGAGGGAAACACAGGGGTGGGAACACAGAGGGGGTAGGGGTGGTCATGGAGAAAAGGGGGGTGAAAATAAGTGTAATCATGGGGTGGGGTAGTAAAGTTATTACTTGGGGACGTCGTAATAATAACTTGCGAGATCCTGCAAAATAATTTATTCCATTATAAATGAGTTTAGCAGGATTTCTAGCGGCCCCGGCTCCCGGACTCGCGGCTGACCGTTCAGTGAGTCCCGGGCCCGTCAGCGACCGTCCCGAGTCCGGGCCGGTAGGCGGCATCACTGACGGCCTTACCGACTCTGTGACGGTGACTCGGTGCCTGGCAGGGCCCAATGCCGACTGAGTGAGTCTACTCATCCGAGTCCCGCGGCCGCCACCTTCCTCTCACGCGCTCCTGTACTTGTCCTCTTGCAGATTCTTCACGTAGCGATTCTTGGACAAGTTAAGGCAGCGGATGGTGAAGCGGCGATAGCTGCCATCATGGCCTGTTAGACGGCAGCAGGTGCGGGAGGGGGAGCAAGGGCCCATTAATAAGGAGGAGGAGGAGGAGGAGGAGGAGGAGGAGGAGGAGGAAGAGCAGGAGCAAGAACAGGAGGAGCAGAAGCAACAGGGGCATCAGCAGCAGCACACAGAAGCGTCACCTCTTCCACAGAGCTTTGTCCCATATGACATCCTTCTGAATATGAAGTTACCTCTGCTCATTCCTCCTCCCTTCCTCCCTCTTCCTCTTCCCTTCTTCCCCCATCATCTTCCTTGGATCCTTGCCGTACCCTCCTTCCTCTCCCTCCTCCTCCTTCCCCTCTCCCCCTTCTCCCTCTCTCCTTCTTGCTCTCCTCAACTCCCTCTCTCCCCTCTCACCCCGTCCAGCTGCGACGGCTTCCATGGGGACCACAACCAGGGGTGCCCCTCGTCCCTCACGCAGTCCTGAAGAGGAGGAAAAGGAAGTGGAGGGGAAGTAAGAGGAAATGAAGGAAAAGGAGAAATATGAGGGAGGAGGAGGAGGAGGAGGAGGAGGAGGAGGAGGAGGTGCATCGCAAGATGCAGGTGCATGTGCACTCCAGAAATAAAAAGAACTCATGGAGTTTCACTTCTGCCACCTCTAAACTTTAAGCAAAAAGATGATATGTCCGCATTGT